TTCAAAGAACCAGCTCCTGGATTGGTTGATCCTTTGAATTGTTCTTTTCATCTCTATGTCATTCAGTTCTGCTCTGATCTTGATTATTTCCTTCCTTCTACTTGCTCTGGGATTTAATTGTTGTTGTTTCTCCAGTTCTTGAAGTTGTAGGGTTAGGTCATTTATTTGAAATGTTTCTATCTTTTTTAGGTAGGCCTGTATTGCTATGAACTTCCCTCTCAGGACTGCCTTTGCTGTGTCCCATAGGTTTTGGATGTTGTATGTTCATTTTCATTTGTTTCCAGAAACTTTTTTATTTCTTCTTTTATCTCATTATTGGCCCATTCATTGTTTAATAGTCTTCTGTTCAGTCTCCATGAGTTTGCAGTTTTTTGAGGTTTCTCTTTGAGGTTGATTTCCAGTTTCAAGCCCTCGTGGTCCGAGAAAATGATTGGTATTATTTCAGTTTTCCCGAATTTGCTGAGGTTTGCTTTGTGTCCTATCATGTGGTCTATCTTTGAAACAGTTCCGTGCACATTTGAAAAGAATGTGTATTTTTCTTCTTTGGGATGTAAGGTTCCATATATGTCAGTTAAGCCCATTTGATTTAATGTGTCATTCAGCTCCACAATATTCTTGTTGATGTTTTGTTTGGAAGATCTGTCCATTTTTGACAGTGGAGTGTTAAAATCCCCTACTATGAGTGTGTTGCTTTCTGTATCTTTTTTGAAGTTGTCCAAGATTTTCCTTATATATTTGGCTGCTCCTATGTTGGGAGCATGTAAGTTTACAATGTTTATGTCTTCTTGATGGATTCTTCTTTTAAGTATTATAAATGTCCTCTGGGTCTCTTTTTATGGCCTTTGTTTTGAAATCTATTTTGTCTGATACAAGTATTGCTACCCTTGCTTTCTTTTCTTGTCCATTTGCTTGGCATATTTCTTTTCCCATCCCTTTACTCTCAATCTGTGTAGGTCTTTTGTTCTGAGGTGGGTCTCTTGTAGGCAGCATATGTGTGGGTCATGTTTTCTTATCCATTCAGCTACCCTGTGTCTTTTGATTGTGGCATTTGGTCCATTTACATTGAGAGTTATTATTGATAGAAACTTATTCATTTTTTCTCCTTGTACCTGTGTTTTTCTCTTTCTCACTCTTTTCCTTCATCTTCTTAAACCAGTCCCTTTAGCATATCTGGTAGTGCTGGTTTGGTGGAGACGTATTCTTTTAGCCTCCTTTTGTCTGGGAATGTCCTTATTTCGCCTTCTATTTTAATTGAGAGCCTTGCTGGGTAGAGCAGCCTTGGTTGCAGGCCCTTGCTTTTCACATTACTTGGAATATTTGTTGCCATTCCCTTCTGGCTTGTAGTGTTTCTGTTGTGAAGTCAGCTCCTAGCCCTATCCGGGCCCCCTTGTATGTTACTTTCTCCTTCTCCCTTGCTGTCTTGAGGATTCTCTCTTTGTCTTTGATAGTTGCCATTTTAATGATGATGTGTCTTGGAGTGGACCTCCTTGGGTCCCTCTTGAGTGGGGTCCTCTGTGGCTCCTGGATCCATGAGACCCTTTCTCTCCTCAAATTAGGGAAATTTTCCATCATTACTTTTTCGAGGAGGTTCTCTATCCCTTGCTCCTCTTCTTCTGGTATCCCTATTATGCGGATATTACTGCGTTTCAGGTTGTCCTGCATTCCCCTAAATGCTTCTTCATTCTTTTTGAGTCTTTTTTCCATTTCTTCTTCTTTCTGGGAGCTTTTTTCTACCTTATCCTCCATCTCACTGATTCGATCCTTGGCTTCATCCAGCCTGCTTTTGATTTCCTTCTACTGTGTTCTTCAATTCAGAAAGGGTATTCTTCATAACCTCTTGTGTCTTCTTGATAGTTTCCATGTCCTTTTCCAGGTTGATACAGTTTTTTGTAAGATCCTGATAGTTTCTCTGCAGTTTCTCGTAGTTATCTTTGAGCTGGCTGAGCTCATTGAGCTTCCTTAGAACCATTGTTTTGAATTTAATATCTGATAGTTCCCTTGCCTCTATTTCATTTAGCTCTCTCTGTGGGGAGTCCCCTTTTCCACTCATTTGGGGGGAAGTTCTTTTTCTTCCCATTTTTGTGAGAATCTGTTAAATCAATCATTCATTCATTCATTCATTCATTTATGCTTCTGCTTCAATTGGGCCGTCTAGATTTCCTGACTTTGTGGATTAAACTTCTGTGGTAGTAGGCGGGTCTTTTTATTTGTTTGTTTGTTTGTTTACTTTTCTTTCTGGGCCTGCCTCTGATGATGTCAGTTGTTGACTCTATATGACCTTGGGTCGTTTATTTGAGCCTTTCAGGAGTCTACTGTCTGTGTCTGACTCCTGCTTTGGGCAGCTCTGTTACCCCTTTGGCCAGGGATCGACTATTTCTGTGGATCACTCTGCACTATCACGCCGGCTCCTGGAGCGCACTCCCTGTCCCGGCAGGATCCACCACCCGCCTGGGCTCGCATGTATTGCCCCAGCCCAGGGGGCTTATTCATGACCTCGCGTACTCGTCTCGCCCCCGACGCCAGCGGGCACCCTGGCACTGGTCTGTTTAGGGTCTTCTATTGTAAGCTTTCCCCACGTTTGGTTCTTTGGATGCATTGCCTGCCCTCACTAAATGGAGACTACGGAAATGGGAGGAAGTCAGCTCCAGTACTCTCCCGTTAATCCTGTCTCCAGTCTCTCCTCCAGGGACTCTGGGCAGCTCTGTGACCCTTCGGCCTGGGATCCACTATTTCTGCGGACCGCTCTCCACTCGCAGGCCTGCGCCGGTCGATTTACACCTGCCTTCGCCGATCTGCGCACTCCCTCGCAGGTCCCATCAGTGCCAACCTGTGGGACGCCTTGCCAGCCCGCGGGAGCCCTCGCCAGCCCGCACGGCTCCACACACAGTCTTGCCATCCCTCGCCGGCCACTCGGCGCAAGTGTGCGCACCTGCAGTGGGTGGTTTTGGGCTGTCTGTTGTGTGCTTTTCAGCTTTTGGCTCTTTGGGGGTGTGGCCTCTTCCTGCACAATGGAGGCTATGGAAAGGAGAAGGAGTCGGGACTCCTCGGTTCCTCCTCCTGTTCTTTCCCCAACACATCTGTCTCCAGTCTTTCTTCAGGGGTCTCTGGGCAGTTCTGTGGCCCTTTTGGCCAAGGATCCACTATTTGTGCGGACGGCGTTGCAATCACGGGCAGTCTGTTTTGTGCTCGCTGCTTCTCCCTCTCTGGGGGTGTGCCCTGCCTGCCCAGAATGGAGACTACAGAATAGGGAGTGAGTCGGGACTCCCCATTTCCTCCTCCTGTTCTTTCCCCAATGCCTCCATTTCCAGTCTCTCCTCAGGGGTCTCTGGGCAGTTCTGTGACCCCTTTGGCCAAGGATCCACTATTTGTGCGGACTGCGTTTCAATTGCGGCCAGTCTGGTTTGTGCACCCCGTCTTCTGCCTCTTTGGGGGCACGCCCTGCCTGCCCAAAATGGAGACTACCGAATGGGGAGGGAGTCAGGACTCCCCGGTTCCTCCTCCCGTTCTTTCCCCAACGCCTCCGTCTCCAGTCTCTCCTCAAGGTTCTCAATGCAGCTGTGTGACCCCTTTGGCCAGGGATCCTCTATTTCTTCCAGCCAGTCTGCACTCAGCCCCCCAGCTCACACGCACAGAAGCTGTGTGCAGAGCGCACAAAAGGCAGGTTAATTGATTCCCTTATGCCTGAGCGAGATGGTAGCTGCAGAGCGGGAGGTGCGTTATCACCGGGCCTCCACCAGCCATCGTCTCAGTTCTCTTCACAAAGTTTTCCTCACCAGTCTTTTCCCAGGCACCAGCCCACCCTGCTGCTGCCTCTACCCAGAGATCAAGGAGGGTGGCTGCCACTGCAGTTTTTGCGTTGGCCCTTTAAATGTCTCTTTGCATCCCCAGCCACCTGTCTCTGGCAGAGAGTGCCCTTAAGCTTTTCAGGGTTGGGTTTTGTCTGTATTTTCCTGGTTTTAGCTGCTGTAGTTTAGAGGTCCCTGTTTATGATTCAGACCCCATTCTTCTCTGGGGGAGCTAACTGGCCGTTTCTATGTCCCTCTTGAGCCTCCACCACACTTCTCACCCGTTGGGATGTGTGAGAGTCGAATCCACTGTCTGCGGCTCCAAGGCTCCTCTCCCACTATTGTTCCGTTGTTTTCCAGGTGATTTCTCCACTATTTAGTCGCAGTTCCAGTTTGGTCTTGGGAAGAGGTCAGCGTGACTCCCATTCACTCCTCTGCCATCTTCCTGTCCAAATTACTGTTTTAAATAATTTGAAATAATTTTTGTATAGGTAGTTAAAACATCAACTCACTACATAATTAAGTTCCTTTGTTTCATTTTGCTTTTAATTTTTAGGACTTTGTTATTTCCATTTTATTTTTGCTTTATTTTTTAAAAATTTTAAAGGATTCAAGCTAGCTTAGCTGATAATTTAAATAAATAAATAAATAAATAAATAGTAGCTAAAAGTCTTAGGCTTATGGGACAGCATTTAATCAAAGAATTATTTAGTTATTCAAGAAAGTTTTTTTCAGTTTTTTTCTAAAGATAGAGATACTTAACTCTAATTAAAGGTTTCCATTATTTTGGTATAGAAACTGGGAACCTATAACCTCCAAGGTAGCCCTAAAAAGTACAACTCCCTACCACCAGACACATTATTACTAAGCTACTTCTGAAGGTTTTATATCAATATTTTCTAACACATTGAAAAGCAGTCTTGCATGAAACTTGTCTTAACTTCTTAGTCTACTAATTTTGGTTACTCAAGACTTCAGTTATATAATTAGTCATCTACCTTTCTAATGCCAAAGTAACTTTTATGTGTAATATTTAATACAAGCAAAATTATATGCTGAAAAAAATTATATTCTGTGGTTTGAAATCTGAAATTTAAAACTTTAGTTATGAAAGCTTGCTTTTGCCACAGCAGTAGTAAAACATGAAATTGTAATTACCATGTCTCTTTATAGGAAGGTGGATCCTAAAATATATCCTGTGATTTCTCTTTTTAGAGTCTGATAAAATACCAGTAATGCGTGGACAGTGGTTTATTGATGGTACTTGGCAGCCTCTAGAAGAAGAAGAAAGTAATTTAATTGAGCAAGAACATCTCAGGTGTTTCAGAGGTCAGCAGATGCAAGAAAGTTTTGATATTGACATGTCAAAATCCATAGATGGAAAAGATGGTAAGACTAATTAATACATTTAATATGTTATGTAAGCCAAATAAGTTGTTGATAAAGTTTAGAGTTGTTTCTAAGTTTGACATAGTAATTTAGGAGTGTTAGAATTTATAAAACTCATTATTTTAAACATTCGATAATTATTATAAAACTCAAAATGTCTATGAATTTCTGAACTATCTCAATTTTTATTTTATTTAATCTGTACACTTAATGGCATAACTTGATTTACTATAAATGACAAATTGTTAATGTGCCCTCTGAATTCATTCTTTTCAGTAGTTTTTAGTTATCAAAGAAATTGTCATTTTATCAAAAGAGCAATTTTGTTAATATTTTAAGGTTGGCTTTTTTTCTGAAGTTTAAGAAAAACTTTAAAGTCTTTTGTATAAGTAAGTATCGCTTACATGTCTCCATATCAACTTTTAATTTTAAACAATTTACATTTCCTTATTCAGCATTTGAATGTGTTTGTAGTAGTTTAAAATATTTATATAATAGCCAAGATTACTATGTTTTGTTATGTCTGATCTTAAGTAAAATTCTGAATGTATGGAAAAGTTAAAAATACTTCTATTGTTCCATTTACTGCAGGCAGTGGAATCAACTATTCTGGTGAGTATGACAGAACAGGTGGATTAGAATTTGTAAATTTCTCTCATTTTTTTTAAGCATTGCTTTATCCGTGCTTGCCTTTATTGGGAGGTTTCTTGGCAAATCCTACTAAACCTAGTGAATTAAGTGATCTTTTTCCCTTCCTCTCTTAAACATCTTCAAAGCAGAAAAACCCAGTATTGAAAAAGTAATTCACAGAATACAGCTTGGAAGAAATGAATTTTGTGGTTGGAAGTAATTGTTTATATAACATAGTTAATGGCAAAACAGTAAACTTTTAATTGGCTTACTTTTTTTCTTATTGTTAGTAACATCCTAAGTCTTTCCTCACTCCTACTCTTTATTTTTTTTCTCTCCATGAACACACACACACAGAGGCAAGGAAACTGTACAATTTAGCCTGTACCAAGTTAAAATGTTTTTTGTATCTAGTTGATTAAAGGTCTACATAATTGAGGAAAGTTGTGGCTGCTGAATAAATTGGTTATATATAATCGTCAGATTTAATAATAATAGTCTGTTATGTGCTAGGTACCATATTCTAGGAATTTTAAATATCTCATTTTCCTAATCTGCAGAGTTGAATATGTATTTATTTCAGTCTAAAATCCAAGATCAAGGTTTTTACATATCAGCATATAAAGAACAGTTCAGTATCTATAGAGCAGAGGGCTATATCTGTATTTCTGCTGCTTACTGTAGAGATAGTAACTGACAATATTTGTCAGTTATAGCACAAATAGTAAGTTTTGTATGTCTGATTTTTTATTTGTGACTGAAATATTTTGTAGCCTCTCATCACAACTACCAAAATAAGCACAAAATTCTATTTTATACTATTTGAAGGACTGATCTTTTTATCATTTTATTGCTATTGGAGATGGCTGAATTCTGGGTTTTTTTCATTTCTGTTAATTCTCCTTAAGTCTTGCCTCAAAAATGGCAATTCACCTTAACAAATCCAGTTGACCCATCCAAAGTCTTTACTATTAATGCATGGGGGAAAAAAAACCAAGAGCTTGGAGGAGAAACAGGATGAGGATTAATAATAAAAATTTAAGTAGATTGTTTCCTTTTCTCAGTCTGTGTCCAAACATTTTTTTTCCACTTGCTAATTCATCCTGTGGAAGTTCATTCTGTTCCATCTCTAGATTCCATCTACTTGGAATCTTGTTCCTGTTAACAGTAAAAATTAGAATTTCACATGTCCTCTTTACTTCTCCCTATTAAAATGTTAAATGTAGCAGAATACTTCAATTTTCTTCAAAGTGCCCTAATTTCATGAGTCAGTCATTTAAATAAGTCTATAAAGAACATGGTTTATTTTGTGTGAGTAGATTTTCATTATGCCTTTGAGTGTATAGGTCAATTCTAGAGTATCTAGGATATTATAATAGTATTTTTGTTAGCTTTAAGGATGTACACAGAGTGATAAAATTCTAGTTAGTAACAACTGAAATTGTTAAACTGTTAAAACACTTTTATACTGTAATCTTTCAAAATGATGATTCTTTGAAGTTTTATTAGAAGAAAAATGTAGCCCTGGTTGTGTAGCACAGTTGGTTAGAGCATCCTCCTGATAGGCCAAAGTTGTGGGTTCTCTCTCTCTGATCAGGGTGCATACAAGAAGCACCCAGTGGATGCATAAATAAATAGAACAACAAATCAGTGTTTCTCTTTATCTCTCTCTCCCTCCCTGCCCCCTCTCTAAAATCAATAAATTTTAAATAAAAGAAAATTTTATCTTTTAAAATATACAATGGCATATAGATAAAACATCAGCATGTTTTATTAGTAGCAAAGATTGTAAGTTCAATTCAGTATATATACACACTATTGTTATAAATTTCTAACCATTTTACTTGTTCAGTATTATGTAAAACATACATTTATGTGTTAAGATATGACATTTAACTTTGATTATGGGTAATTTGGTAGTGCATTTGAACATTATCACTCATCTTAAGGAAAGAATATTTGCTGTACAAAAAGCTACCATTGTTGGAAAAATAACTCAAGTTTACCATAACTACAAAGATAAAAAAATATTACAATCTTTTACTTTGCTTCTTATCTCCAAGCTTCTGAAATTGCGTATTTCATTAATTTGAGGGAGGGGAAAAAAACCTTTTCCACCTAAATTTTCTCATGTATACATGATAAAGCCTTGACTCTTTATATTATCAGGAGATTTTGAATGCTTTCATATGCAGATAATACTGTGTGCTAGGCACTTTTATGAAAGAAACAGTACATACCTACAGTACAATTAGGGGAAGCTGGATAAAGAATATAAGGTAACTCTCTGTACTATTTTTGCAACTTTTCTTAAGTCTAAAATTATTCCATAATAAAAGGTTTAAAAAAAAGAGTAGAGGAATTAAAATACAATGGTAAAAAATATTTATTCCTGGCCAATGTGCTCAGTTGGTTGGAGCATTGTTCCATAACCAAAAGGTTGCAAGTTCGATCTCCTGTCCAGGTGCTTACAATCCTGGGTCCAGGCACATATGGGAAGCAACCAATCAATGTTTCTCTCTTCCTTTCGCTCTCCAAAAGCCATGGAAAAAAATGTCCTCAGGTGAGGTTTAAATATATATAATTAACACCCTCCCCAAAAAAGAAATCACAGGAAAGGAGAAACAAGAAACAAAGTATAGCTGGAACAGAGAGAAAATAAATGGGAAATGATAGACCAAAATTTATCCATATCAATAACTATAGTAAATACGTAAAGCGAACTAACAATCCAACTAAAAGCAGAGCATGACAAGATTTGTTAGAAATGCAGGACCCGACTATATGTGGTCTACAAGAGCTACACTATTGATATAATGTCATAGGTACATAGAAATTTAGAACATGGACTTTTTACTGTTCAAGCTAATTTGGGGCGCTTATAACAGTACAGATGTTGGTGGATCTCTAAGAATTTTTTACAATATTTAACAATTTGGCATATGAAGTGTATATTCCTAACGCTTGCCTGGATAACAGTATCCCAAACATCAATACAGAATTTCAAAAGTCAAGAAAACTGGGGCAGGAGAGAAAGGGGGTGGGGGGGCCGGTAGAGAATTGCCATTGTCTGGTTCTTAATTATTTAATTTTTATAAATTTATCTAAATTTCTCTGGGATCCAAGAAGATTGCTAGGGCTTTTCTCACTACAGTTGGCAAAGTTTGAGATGCACAGGCCTCCTTCCCCTGACGTAGAGGTCAGCCAGGTTGCCAGTTTTGGGAAAAGGAGAAGCTATTGAGTTGTTCCATTCTAGGAATTATTGTGTCATCAGCAATCCCCATTTTTGATGTTCTGTTGCTTTCAAAATGACATGTTGAAGAAAGTTTCTTTAAGAATTGAATTATATAAAGAAATTTATTGGAAATGCTAAATTTTATACTTGAAATCCTTCATTTCTGTATAGGACGTTAATGTATAAAAGAAAATTTTTATTAAATGTTAGCATCTAAAAACTTAGCACTTTCAGTTGTATTTTGAGTCTATGTATAGTTTTGCTAACATGACATAATCCTTACCTTAAATTTCATTTTAGAAAAAGGTAAAAAGTAATGCTTTCTGGCATTTGAATTTCCTTTAACAGTGATCCCTGTTTGGATTGAAAGCAAACCCTTTTTGTCTCTCCTGTACTTCGGGTGGTACACCTAATTCTGTGCTTTGGGTTGAAAAATATTAAGCTCTCTATGCTAACAGGATGGTGTAACAAATAGGCAAATGCTTTCAAGTGAAAATAATTAAATTTGAGAATAAGGTAAACAACCATGTCTATTTAATTTTATAAAAATGTTTTAAGTAAATATGCCTCTGTTTTTAGTACACTGGGTGTTTGCCCTTTTTTAATTTCTAATTTATACTATTCCTTTAGAAAGGAAAACCTTTCATTGTTCTATCTTGACTAGCTTTTTGAAAGCATTTGTATAATTTTATTTTATTTTTTATAATGTTTTATTGTTTATGCTGTTACAGTTGTCCCAATTTTTCTCCCTTCAGCCCCCCTCTGCCCCGCCCCCCCTTCCATAGTCAGTCCTCATACCATCATCCATTTCCATGGGTCCTTCATGTATGTTCTTTGTATTTGCGTAATTTTACAGTGTGGTCGGAGGGCCCATATATTTCCCATTTTCTTTTAGTAAATATAGAATTGGTTTGTGTTAGTTTTACTAGTAGATTTAGAAAATTTAGGTTTTGTTTCTTTGATTAATAAAATCTTAAATCTATTCCAGTTTGATCTACTTGGCTATCTTAGCTTGTTCCTAGTGAATTTTTTTGTTTAAAAATGTTTTGTACAAGTGGTACTTCTATTTCTCAGTAACTGACCAGAAGGCACATGAACATAGAAACATGTTCAGTGAAGAAAATTAAGGTGTCATTTTTCCACCCCTCTGACAGTGAAATGTTTTTATAATCCCGCTGTTACTACCCAGTTCTTCATCCTTGTCTAGTTTTTTATAGCCATCTAATTACAGTTATATGTAACTGTGTACATGTATGTAACTGTGTAACTGTGTTAAGTTACTTAACTGTAAGTGCCTTGTAAGCATTTCTCAATTACATTTATTGCACAAATCTTTAAATATAGTTCATTTGTATATATGTGAGTAATTTTTTTAAATATTTCTAGCACTATACAAGGGGGTACCCCCTCAAAAAAACGGAATTATCTTCTGGAGGGCAGACCTCTTTTAGTACAGGCTTCCCTGCTAGGTGAGTGTTCTAGGAACCCATCGGTATCAGTGTACCAGCAGGCATGGTTGTGAGAGGCCGCTTTTGGCTTCAGTGAATTTTTTTGAAGACCCTTTCAACATGCTTGCCCATTGCATGATGGGTGATTTACAAGTGCACCTGCTACACCGCTCTGAGTGTTCAGTTTTTTACCAAAAACAGCATGACCCCTGTGCTCCTCCCTATTCAATCAATCTTGCCCCAAGAGACTTTTTTTGTCTCCCCGGGTGAAAAAAGTCTTCAGAGGGAAACATTTTGCCGATGTGGATGAGATAAACAAAAAATGGCGTAAGTACTAAAAGCCATCAAAATCGATGAGTTCAGAAATTTTTTGAGCAGTGGAGGAAAAATAGTCTCAGGTGTATTGCATCATATGGAGAGTCCTTTGAAGGTGACTGAAGTTTAAACACGTAAGAATAAATATACAATTTTTATAAATAAATTCCAGTTTTGGGGGAGGGTTTTCCCTTGTACAACAGGAAATATTTCATATTTGCGCAGTATTTAACCTTTTAATGTTACATTAATGTGGAAGGGAGTGAGGATGAAAATCAAATTTGAAGTAAATCATAAAGGTTCTGTCGTTCATTAACTGAACTATTAAGAAATTGATTTGTAAAGTTCAAGTGGATTTTCAACTAAGTACTTAAAATATAAGAAAAATTATTGATATGTAATGAGCAATATTTGACAGGAAATATCAACTTTAAAGTTGTCTACTGACTTGCCAAATATCAAGTCTGTGTCTAGCTTTACTCTGTATAGCCTGTTTCATGCTTAAAAGATGTCACAGCATATATTTTTACTAATGCCCTTTTTTTATTCTATCATTAATAAATATTTTATTATTTTATCATTAATAACTGAGTTAAAAGTAGAGCTTCCAAGTTTATTATTTTTTAAGTTTCATTTTTTCAAAGTTTTTTAACAACTGAACAGAGTTGTGAATAGGATATTGTGATTCTTTGGGAAGGCTCCGTTATATGTACTTCAGTAATTGAAAGCATCTAGTAGAATGTATACTGTGGTATCTTCTCAGGAAAGCTGCATTAAATATTTAAAGTGTGATTTATTGCATTCTCAATTTGCACATCAGTTGTGAGCTGTCATAGTCACAGATTTGGTGAGAGTAAATATCCTTAGTATATAAAGATGGAGATTTTAAAGCTCAAGCACATTCAGAAGTGCCATGCTCTATTTTTTTTTTATTCTATTTATGCAGAGACATTAAAAATGGTGATTGTGTAGTTGTCTTTAACTGACAAATTTAGGTATCATTTGCCTTTTTTCGGTAAAAGTAGAGCATATATTTGATAAACATTAAACTAATATTTTGCTCCACCAACTTTAATTAGAAATTATATAAATGAAACATTTAGAATGTTTGTCAAATACAGCTCATTTTTTAAAGTTAGTACAGTGAAAAGGCAAAATAGAAAACCTATTTAAAATTTACTTTGAAGCTCAGTGTTTTTGCTTTCTTAGTAGTCTACCACCTCCCTCCCTTCTCCTTCCCTTTTCTGTTCAAATGGAGAGGATATAAGGAGAGTTCAGAAGCAGCAGGTCTTAAACGAAAGCGTTCCCAAGGTACAGTAATTGTAGTTTTATTTCTCCATGTAGTTACATTCCTTGCTTATAGCATTTAGCTGTTTTTAGAGCATTCAGTTGTATTTAAAGCATAGGAATTATTAGTATTAGTATTTAGAGCATAGGAATGTATACATTGTGCTGTTTTGTTTAGTGTTAATTATAAGCAGTAATAAACATTTGGAAATGATGTATATAGTCCAATAAAGGGATATTCACCAATATTAAGAAGGAAATTTTGTTAGCCTAACACTATTCTCTTAATATTTTGATCTTGTAATTTCAGTGTTTTAACCATATGTTGCTCAAAACTTTTAACAAAAAATGTGATTTAGAAACATTAAACAAAAAAGCTTAGAATAGTGACTCTCTGGATGGGAAATAGAATTACAAAAGTAAGTAATTATTAAACTTGTACATAAGATGTCTTTTAATTTATGAAAAAAGAATTTTTTAAATATTTAAAAAAGCTGAATTTATGGGTTATTTTCTTTGGACCCAAAGATATTATTAATATTTGTTATGTTAATTTCATTTTGGTCTTGTGTTCAATGATAGTAATGTGTCCTGGCAGGTAAGTTCAATATTAATTGGTTTCCCATAAATTTTTTAATTACATTTGTAATATAACTAAGAAAGAAATTTTCTTGGAATGGATTTACTGTTCTGTTAATTCTATTAGGAAATAGGTTTACATAAAAATGTCCTAGGATCTTAGATCTTGACCAAGGCTATATATCCTTCCATATTTAGCTTGAGGTTATTTTCAGCCCATCTTCAAATCAAAAGAATTAGGCTGTGCCAGTAACTAGCTTTGTGTCAAGTCACTTAATCTCTTGGTACCTCTGTGTCTTTATACATAATGGGAGATAATACTTTGCTTGAAGAGGATTTTAAGAAAGTAAATCGGGCATAATGATCTGAAGGTGCTTGTTTTTCTGAAGATGGATATGTGAATTTTTCTTACCTCTGTACCAGAGATAGGAAACATTTAAGTTCTTAAAATATGAGAATTATCAAATTATGAGTTGGTGGACATGTCATCACAATTTTCTCGATTTGTTGCTTCCACAAACATTACTAAACTTGTGACACATGTCAGGCACTGTGTTTGGTGCTAGCAGTACAAAATAATCAAGACATAGTTTCTACCTCACAGAGCTTATTTCTGGAGCATACAGGTTTGATTTTTTTGTTTTAAGCTCATTTTTACCAAGCATACTTCAGTTACAGAAAACAACAACCAGACTGATTGGAATATCATAGTAGAAAAAAATTTCTTTAATTTCTTATTAAAATATCTTTGACTTTGGATTTCTGTTATAGTGAGCAATGTCCAGTGATAATTGGCTTTAATATCCATTCCAAAATATCTGATATTCTAATAAGTTAGATTATTTTCTTCCCAGTTGAAAGGCAATTTTTTTATCTGTGAGTCTTATTTTGTGCTGAGTGAAATTTTCACAGATCCAAACATAAAATCAACAGAAGAAATGGAACTTAAGTTTCTCTGTCACAGTTGTTGAGGACTTTCATGAAGGTATTTGTCTCTTACACCTAAGGAGGGGTACATCACCTGGAAAAGCAGTACTTTAATCATCAAAATGCATTAACTATATGTTAGAGGTTAAAATTGTAGTAGTCAAGCCACTCATTCCATGTTGTTATAACACGTTGTCATAAAATAAAGTCCCTATCTATTATTTGCTTTACATCAATGTGTGTTTCAATGAAATAGTTTTTTTATTGAACTAAGTTCAAGTATGGATTAAAAAATCTATGTATTATAATTTTTCACACAAATGAAGTGTGTCTTGGAGATCTTCAAATTAGTTTTCCCTTTTTTGCAACAGCTGTTCATAGTTTCAAGTTGAGTCGAAATCACGTGGACTGGCACAGTGTGCATGAAGTATATCTTTATAGTGATGCAACAACATCCAAAATTGCAAGAACAGTTACGCAAAAACTGGGATTTTCTAAAGGTAATTGTTAAATATTACTATCATTTGTCAAAATTTGGGGAATGTGACTTAACAGTTACTGCCCTATTAAAAGAAACTTTTATTAAGATGCTTGAGTTAACATGTATTCATCAGTGAATAATCATATATTTAGAATGATCCAACAAGATTAATAAATACCTTTTATACTTCTAAAAGCATAAAAGCAGTTAAACTCAAGGTACTGGTATGAAAATAAAACAGCAATTCAAATATAGTAGTATTAAGGAAGATGATGACTAAAAGATCTTCATTGGACTTAATGAAAATGGCGGTCATTGGTGACTTAAATGACCTGATGGGACAGAAGCCAGCATGGTATGGGTGGAAGCTTAAATACAAGGTGAAGAAATGGAGGCATGGTTAGTAGACAGCTATTTAAAGGTATTTAACTAAAAGAAATAAAAAGAGAATGGTACCTGGGGAAGATACGAGAGCATTATCAAAAAATAAATTTTAAAAAATATTTTCATGTCTGATAGTTTTTGTTTTAATAAGTTCATTACCTGTATTTGTCTTGTGACTAACCTCATGTCTGTAGCCTGTTTTGCTACTTGAATGTTTGTCTTTTCACTTTAAGTAAGCTCTCTTTGTATACTCAGGTAATTAACTTACTGTTTGTCATATTTTGGAATATTTTTCCAAGTTTGTCGTTCATCTTTTATTTTTGCTTCATGGTATTTTTTTCTAGAGAAGTTTAAAATTTTTGTGTTTCATACTTCCTTCTTTCCTTCCTTCCTTTCCTCCCTTTTTCCTTATGGTTTTCTGGCTTTGGTGTCCTGTTCAATTTAGCACTGTATGTATATCATCTTATAAATGTTATCTCTTCCCAACCCAGTAAAATTCTTTTGTAGTATTTTCTTATCTTCTTTCTTTCAATATATTGTGAGAATGCTGTTTTTGGAATAAACAGTGAACCTAAAATCATAATTTTTCTACAGCATCAAGTAGTGGGACCAGACTTCATAGGGGTTATGTAGAAGAAGCCACATTAGAAGACAAGCCATCACAGACTACCCATATTGTATTTGTTGTGCATGGCATTGGGCAGAAGATGGACCAAGGAAGAATTATCAAAAATACGGCTATGTGAGTTATTTTATGAATACATTTTCCATTTAGCCTAGAATGCAAACTTCATTCCTCACCATCTTCTTTCATCTTTCCCTTCTTTTTTTTTTTTTTTAAGACTTAATTACTTTTAGAGAGAGGGAAAGGGAAGGAGAAAGAGAGGGAGAGAAACATCAATGTTCAAGAGATAGATTGATCAGTTGCCTCTTGCACTCCCCCAACCGGAGACTTGGCCCACATCCCAAGCATATGCCCTGACTGGGAATTGAACCTGCTACCTTTGTTTACAGGCCAGCACTCAATCCACTGAAACACACTAGCCAGGGCTCCTTCTTAGTTTTAAGAGTCACTCCAGATAGTTACTACCAAGTGATTTAGCAGACATGCCTGCTTACCTAATCATTATCTACTTAAGTCACCATTTGAGAACTATGATACTGATGCTCAGAGGATAGGATTCTGTAAGTTCACCATAGAAAAGGACAGTATTTTAAGCAAATGTAGTGTTTCTGACTTCATAACTCAAAAGCAGTGTTCCTCAATCTCATCATTATTGACATTTTTGAACACAGAATTCTTTGTTATGGGTGGCTGGCCTATGAGTTATAAGGTATTCAGCAATGTCCCTGACCTCTACCCCCTAGATACAAAATAGAACCCCCAGTTGTGACAACTGAAAATGTCTACAGACATTGCCAAATGTCCTCTGGAGGAATAAATTGTCCATGGTTGAGAACCACTAGTCTAAATGAACTTTATTTTTTCCCAATCCTCACCTGAGGGTATGCTTTTTATTGATTTTGCGGGTGGGGACGGTAGAGAAGCATTGTTCAGTTGCCTCGTCTATGTGCCTTGACCAGGGATTGAACCTGCAACCTTTTGGTATATGGGACGATGCTCCGAGCAGCTGAGCCACTTGGTAAGGGTGAAATGAACTTTACTTATTTTTTTTTTTTTTTTGTAAATTTGGATGATAACACACATATTTAACTACTACATCATAATATATAAGAACTGCACAGCTGTCAAAAATGAATAAGTGAGTAGAATAATAGAAATCTTAAAATGTTTTTTCTTGTATATACTCATTAAAACTGAACATTTGAGAAGATGACAAAGAAACACACAGTGTATCGATAACCATTACTTGGTGACTATTGTTAAAAAAAATGGAATTTATAGACTATGAGTAATAAAAGAGATCCTATCCTGAAGTCTGAAGTTTTGGCTATCGTTTTTCCTTTCAGTGAGATACAGGAAGCAGATTACTTTCTGACATCTTAGAATGTATTTAGACCTTTTAAAATGGCAACTTAGGAGATTTATAATCAGTAAAATATTACAGTTGACCCTTGAACAGCACAGAACCTGTCAGGGCTCTAACGTTCTTTGCAGTCAAAAATCTGTGTATAACTACATTTGGCCCTCCGTGTAGGAAGATTTCCAACTACCCCTTGATCTTTGAACAGCATGGATGTGAACTGTGCAGACCAATTGAAAAACAATTGTATATAAATAGAACCAAGCAGTTCAAACTCTTGTTGTTCCAGGGTCATCTGTATTATATTGTAAATAATGCCTTTTAAAATATGAGATCTATTCAGAAGGTATCCAGCTATATAATATGAAAAATAGAGGCATTTATTGAAGAAAATACAAGAAACATTGTACCTAGGACAATGACGCCTCAGCCTCCCTCAAGGTAGGCATCTTGGGACCTCACACAGTCCTCCCAATCACCATCAGCTGCCCCATCATATTTTCTGGAATCTCATGAAAGGTTTGAAATCTCTTCTGTCTCAAAGGTGATTTTAGTTTTGGGAAAAGCCAGAAGTCTCAAGGCGCCAAATCTGGGATATAGGGGGTATGAGTCACCTGGATGATTTGATGTTTTGCCAAAAAGCTGCATGAGACGTGGTACACAAATAGGCACATTGTCATGGTAAAGCTGCCAATCGCCAGCTGCCCATAGCTGTGGCCTTCTGAATCATTCAAATAGTTTCCACAGAGGAATGTTCAAGCTTATCACAAAAGTTGATGCAGATTCATTGGTGTGCTCACTTAGTCACTTTGAATGCAACAGCCACACAGTACACATGCTCACTCAACAGCATCTACCAGCCCCACTAATACAGTGAAGTCATCATTGTTATATCTAATGGGAGGGTTTGTGTGACATTGATGCAACCTGGCAGTCAAGGAGAGTGGGCTGGTTTGCACTTGTGTGTACAATTATGAAAATGACTGAGCAAGTAGAGCAACAAAGCTGCATCAGATTTTGCATTAACCTTGAACATTCCTTTAAGGAAACTATTCAAATGATTCAGAAGGCCACAGCTATGGGCAACTGGAGATTGGCGGCTTCATTGCAACAACGCACCCCACTCGTGCATCACGTCTTCTGCAGAGTTTTTGGCAAAACATATCACCCTGGTGATTCAGTCCCGCTGCAGCCCAGATTTGGTGCCCTGTGACTTCTGGCTTTTCCCAAAACTAAAATCACCTTTGAAAGGGAAGAGATTTCAGGTCTTTGAGATTCCGGAAAATACAACAGGGTAGCTGATGGCGAGTCCAACAAAGGATTTTGCAGAGTGTTTTCAACAGTGGAAGAGATGCTGGAAAAGCTACGTGAGGTCTCAAAGTGCATACTTTGGAGGGGGCTGAGGCATCATTGACCCATGTAAAATGTTTCTTGTATTGTCTTCAATAAGTGTCTCTTTTTCATAGTACATGGCTTGATACTTTCTGGAAGACCTCACCTATACCTATGGAGGAGTAGTCTTGTCAAAACAGTAGAACTTGAATCAGCTTAAACCCCTATATCTCCCCCTACCGGATTATAGGAAACAGAGGACAATGAATATGTTAAATAACACCATGGGGACTCAGTCATTAAAAATTAGACTTTGAGAAACATTATAGGATATTAAAAAAATTACAAAGCAAAAAAAAAAAGAGGAACCTATAGATTAAAAGACATCCAGCAATTACAATACATGGGCTGTATTTGGAGCTCAATTTAAGCAAGAGTAAAAAAAATTATAGTCTAACTAGGGAAAAAAGGGATCAGTAAACTATATATATTTGCCAAAAATAAAGAATTATTAATTGTTTTTGGTATAATAGTACTGAATAGGTTATCTTTTCATTACATTTTAGAAATAAATACTAAACTATAGGTGAAATAATGTGATGTCTGGGATTTACCTTAAAGTATTATGGGGGAATTGTGCAACTATAAAGGAGTTTGAGGGAATGAAAGAATTATTGTATGTCTTGATTGTGGCAGTGCTGTCCATGAGATTAGCAGACATTTGTCATGTCCAAAATGTCCATAAAGACCTAGGAGGGTGTGACTTACTTGGTGGGAGTATCCTATACACCAAAAGATTGTGGGTTCAATTCCTGGTAGGGCACAAGCCTAGGTTACAGGTTACATTATCAGTCGGGGCACATATGGGACGCAACCAATCAATGTTTTTTTCTCTCTCCCTGTCTCCTTTGCCCCCTCCTTCCCCCCCTTTCCCTCCCTCTCCTCCTCCTCTCTTTCCTTCCTTTCCCTCCTTTTCCTCTCCCTTACTTTTCCCTTCCTTTTTCCTTCCCTCCCTCTCCCCCTACATCTTTCCCTAAAAAAGCAATGAAAAAATGTCCTGAGGTGAGGATTAAAAAACAACAACAAAATGTCCATAGGGACATTTGGTCCACACTAAAAGGTCCTTGATATTTTCTCCTGTCCAAAACATACATGGAGACGTTTGGTCCACATCAACCCATTTACCTAACCCCATGTTCCATGACTAGCTAGGCTACATAGGCAAGAAAGAGTATTTATTGGCAGGCATATGGCCACAACACAATTATTGGACCAATAGAACATGATAGTATCTTTTATGCATTAATCCTATAAACCAAAAGCATACATAAATGTTATGGGCTGTTTGAACTCAGCAGCATTTTTTTAAGCATGGCCATTTTGGACAGGACCAACTATGAAGGAACATTTGGCATGGACAAAATATGCTTTGAAATGAACTGTTGTATATTGTAGTAATTGAAACATAATTGGACATAGTTATAAGAAAGTTGGAAGTTGTTATAATTAAAGACATTTTATATCATGTAAATATGTAAGTGAAGTTACTCTAATAAAAATTTGGGTTTTTTTTTTTTTTTTTTGGATTTTTAGGATGAGAGAGGCTGCTAGAAAAATAGAAGAAAGGCATTTTTCCAACCATGCAACACATGTTGAATTTCTTCCTGTTGAGTGGCGGTCGAAACTTACTCTTGATGGAGGTACATTATGTTTAAAAATTAAATGATTTAGCTAATGGCAACAAAGTGATGCTCACTGGGGAAAAAGAGTCTTTAGTTGTCTTGAGGTATATTCATTCTTTGTTCTAGTTATTTAAAAAATTAAAATCCATTGATTTTTAAAATAATCATATCAACATGTCATTTTGGAACATCATACAGATATCACAAATAGCAGTTTTCATGCTTGCCCTGTGGATTAAGGGTGGTAGTGGTGGTATATGGAAGGAACAAAATGTTTTCTAAAGTTTTTGACAAAAAAAGTAATCTGTCGATACTTTTATAAGTCCAGTGCACTATCCATTGGGCCATAGGGCCACCTGAATTGTCCATATTATTAAAACACTGTTGTCACAATTCCTTATGAGCTTAAATTTTCTTCCTAATACTTTTCCTTCCCCATATTTGGAAGATAAGGTATCAGATCTTTTTGTGTGTATGTGTGGTTTTAGTACATTACCTAGGCTGTTTTTTTCCTTGAACTGTTAGCCAGACTATACATATCTTTACACAAAGTTGTATCCTTTCATTATGAAAACCATTAAAATAGAATGTTTAGGTTATTTACATAATCTAGAAAATACAAGAGTTGTACTAGATACAATAGCAGCTGCCATTTATGGAGCATTTCCTGTGTGCCTGGCACTTTGCAGTTCATTTTTCATGGAATATATCATTTAATTTTCTCACATATCTGTGAAATACCTACTTCATTTTTTCTATTGCACTGTTCAGGAAACTGAAACTCAGTAAAAGGTGAATTTAACTAAGAATATATAGCAAGCAGACTCTAGATTCATGTGGTGCCAGAGCCCTTATTCATCACACGGCTAAATTGCCTCCCTGGGTGATTGCCAAAGATTCTTCCAAGTCGGTGATTATGTCTCATAGTCAAGAATGTCAGTTATAGCTTATAGACCAAAGTGGCATCAAAAGTTGTAGTAACTTTAAAACAAAAATGCTAGGGACCAAAGAAAACTTCGTGGCAGCAACAGCTCAGGATGATGGAGTAGTTTTGTATCCTGATTGTGGTTAATAGTTATGTAAAACCATATGAGTTAATTTTACTGTTTGTAAATTCTAAAATAATGATAAAAAGCATTTACCTATAGCAAACATCATTATGCTCAGGAAGAGGCTAAGGATGTCACTCTTTTAACAAATACTCTACTTGCAATCTTAGCTGGTGTAATACAATAAGGAAAAGAAATAATTTTAAGGAATGGAAAAGATGTTTTTATTTGCAGGTCATATGACTGCAGAGAATATACAAAATCTCTACAGAAAAATTATTAGAATTAATAAGACAGTTTATCAAGGTTGTAAAATAGAAGATATACAAGGTGGGGCAAAAGTAGGTTTACAATTGTATGTGGAACACAAAGTTTATTCTTGTATTATTATTTATTAACTTGTATTATTTTATATATAAACAGCTGTAAACTTACTTTTGCCCCAGACTATATAAAAATAATTGCATTTCTACATACCAGCACAATTAAAATAGCATAAAAATATAATGTTCCTAGAAATAAATCTAATAAAATATGTACATTTATATAAAAAATGAAAAACTGTTATATTAAATACAACTTAAGTATAAAGATAATTTTCATAGATTGGATGACTCAATATCCTAGAAATATTAACCCTTCAAATTGATTTATAGATTCCATGCAATTCCAATCAAAATCCCAATAGAGTTTTTCACAAAACTTGACAAGTTTATTCTAAAATTATTACAGAAGGGCAAAGGCCCAAAAAAAGCCAAGGTATAGAACAAGAGGAGAAGAAGAGGAATTAAGTTCTAGTACAGTATTTTCTTAAGACAGAAAAGCACAACTACAAAGCGACATGGATAAATTTGATTAAAATTAAGAGCTTCTATTTCTCAATAGACATAAAGAGTAAAAGATAAACTGGGAAAAGATACTGCAACAGAGCAAAATATATAATCACCAAAGGTTTAATATCCAGAATAAAAATAAAAAACTTAAATGGAGAGAAATACACAAACAGCATATTCATGTGTGTGTTTTATGTTAATATATTAAATATATACTTTATATCGTTTATAATGTATATCTTACTCTTCTAATAATCAAGGAAATGCAAATTAAGACCACAATAAAATATCATTGACATTCATCAGTTTAGCAAAAATTCAAGGTGAGGCTGTGTAGCAATGAGGACATGTAGCCATGAAGATTCTCATTCACTACTGGTGAGAATGTAAATTAGTACAATCACTTTGAAAGACAATTGAACATTTCCTTGTAAAGTTGAATGTGTATGTGCCCTATGACACAGCAGTTTCACTCACTCCCAGATAGACACACACACACACACACACACACACACACACCCCACCCCCCCCTAAAGAAAATCTTACACATGTGCACCAGGAGCATAGTTTATATTAGCAAAAAACTGGAAACAACCCAAATGTCTTTGAAAGGAAAATGGATAAATTGTGACACATGTATAGAGTAAATGAATGGATTACAGCTATATGCGTTAATATAAATGAACCTGAGAAACATAATATTGGAAGTGAAATGAACCATGGACAATAACTCAATTTACTGGTACATAGTATTCAAAACAGCCAAAATGAAATAAAATATTTAGGTTCTGGTACATAATAAATGCCACAGAATTGGCTAAAGGTATTAATATTAATGGACATAAAGGAAATCTATAAAGAAAAGCAAGAGTGTGATTAACACAAATGTGATGAGGTCACATCCTATCCAGAGGTAACCTCCAATATGTCATTCAGATCACATCCTACCCAGGATACTGTGGGTTTCAAAGACATTGGCAGCATTGTTGAGCTAGGTATTAAGAACATGTATAAAACATTTTTTCAGCTGTACATATATATTAAATATCTTTTGCCTGTTATGTGTATTTCACAGTAAAATCTTTTTGGAAATTCATTAAAATGGCATTTAAACTTTTTCTATCAGCATGGTAATCACACCTTTCATTTCTACAATTTAAAAATAGGCACAGGTTATAAATAATGTTGTGCTACCCATGAATAGTCACAGTATTCTTTTTTAAATCTTTGAAATCTCTTCTAGCTTTGCTTGAATAATTGCCTTCCAGTCATTATTACACTGTATAAAAGTGGGAAATAAATAAAAATAAAATAACTTAAACTGATGCAATGAAGATAAAAGAAATTGCACTAGACTAAAAATACAAGCTTTCTTCTGTCCACTTTATGCTTTGAAATCATGATATTTATCCAAGCATAGGACTTATTTGTATTTTTATAAGAAATGCAAGTTTTTCTGTGTCTCTAATCATCTTACTACACATTTAATAGAATAGGCTCCCATGGTTGAATTTCTATAGGTTAGCTGTAACTCATAGAAGGCTGCATATGTTTGCAGTGCATTGCATATATTTGCAATTCGTTTTTTTTCTCAAAAGTAAGTTACACCAATTCTGTTTTGTTTACTGCAAATGCCCATTGCGGGTTTGCATTTGTGCATATTTATAATTTGACAGCTCTTCCTCATAGGATATTTGGTTTACTGTAGGAAAATATAAAATGTAAAGGAACTTTTTAATTTGTTGCTGGTTTGCCACCAGTGCCTCTAGGCATGCTACATAAGTATTGCCAGGACCAAGGTGCATAGTCCAAAGAAGAAAAAGGAAACAGAAAAGGAGGTAGAGAAAAAGTAAGGTTGTGTCCCTTGATGCTTGTTATAAGACTAGAGAAGATTCAGTTTTGCTCTGGGTTAGTCTTAAATATTGAGATGTTAACTTAAAGAGCTGTTGTTTCAGGGAATGTAATTTTTTGCACAATTTATTTTTTTACCTAAAACAGCTATCTTCTCTTAGCTTTATTTGCTTGTTTTTTCTTTTGTAGACACCGTTGATTCTATTACTCCAGACAAAGTACGAGGTTTAAGGGATATGCTGAACAGCAGTGCAATGGATATAATGTATTATACTAGCCCACTTTATAGAGATGAAGTAAGTACCATAATTATCTTGCTGCTATTGGGTATTTTTTAGAGTGATAGCATGTGTGTCCTGAATTTTAACATTTTATACTCTTTTTTTTTAACAAACAAATGAGAAATTACAGGAATCCTAGCCTGCATTAATAGTGAATTTAATCGTCTTCAAACTGCACATTGAGACCCTAATAAAAGAATGATTTTGAAGTAGAAGATTGGTTAGAAAAATTAATTATATCTATGATTGTTGTCCTCACAAAGAGTTTTAGATAGAAATTTCCTTCAGATCTTTTGTATATAATAGACTTGCTTTTATTGTCATTTCTGTAGTGGGTTCATATAGTTCTCAAACAGTAATGTTGCTTATGTATCACAAAGACAACCCAAATGGGGATGAGGGCTGAAAGTTTATTCAGAGGGATTAGAGAATCTCTACCAATGTATTTTGTCACTTTATTGGTAAGAGAAAAAGAATTGTTTCATAGGAAAACCTTGTTAATTACCTAACATGTATTAACTTGTTTAATCCTCCTCAAAACCCTATGAAGTAAATATGATTAGTATTTGCATATGAAGGATGGCGAAACGGGTGCAAGGAGTAATTTACCAGTAGACCTACTCTGTGCTGCTCCAAGACAATCCATTTCTGATTTTGCTCAGTCAAGTCACTCCCTGACTTAGTCCATGGTATTCTTTACACAGCTGCAGAAATACCCTGGTTAGTTGCCACAGAAACTTCCTTCTCTTCCGGCTGCCATCCCCTTAGGATATATCTTCATTTCTCTTTTTTATATCCCCTCGTCTCCATAGACCCATATTGGGCAAGGTCTTCCTTGATCTGATTACAATAATAAAAGCAACTACAAGGAGAACTGCTATTTTGCATCTGATTCTAGCTAAGGCTTAGTTGATGAAGTAGAGTACTAAAATTTACATATTCATAGTTCTTTATAGTGTCTAGTGGTCATTGTTTAGCTAAGCCCTAAAAGTTAGAAAATTGGATTATAGTATTGCAAGTGAAGTCAATGAGGGGGGAAAATAAAAGAGAATGGCTAAAAGCATATTACTATACATATACCCCCCCCCATATATGCCTTACACACGTGCGCGCACGCACATGTGCGTTTTTGGTAGTACTCCTAAGAAGATATCCTGACTGTTCAAGGCTTAAATGTACTGAAACATAATGCGGGTTTTGTATTTTAAGTTGATGTTGACAGCAACAAAAACTAGAAAGAGGAAAGTGTCAGGCTCTAAGTTCTGGCCATTGGCTAATGATGACTAAGAAAGTGGTCACTTTCTATCTTGCTCTCATAATCTTTAAAGATAATTATCCTCTGAATGGAATTAAATAAAACAGGTAATTTAGTAGAAAGTGAGAAATGGGAAAAGAATACCAGTGTTTTAAATTAGTTTTTTGATTCAGTTGAATTTCATGGAAAAGCATAGAGAACTTGTGACTGAGATTCATCAGCAAACTTTAGCAATGTTTCCCAAATATCCATAATTAGAACAATTACTTGTGGTGCTTATTAAAAATGCAAGCATAAAAAAACTCCATAGGGGAACCTTGGAATTTAGGGTATTAATGTGAATTTATGACTTGAAAATATGTTGGTATGTATAGATATTATCTATATATTTAAGTGTATATTGTTTACACATGCATATATTTCCTACTTCTGTTCATTGAAAGGGTCAGGAAACAGACACCCTAAATGGGGTGACCACCCCTCATACCCAGATCTTTTCCCCTATTATTCCCCTTTAAGAAGAACTAGAGTTACTGGGGGAAAAAAATGGCTGATTCCAGGGCTGAGGACAGGATAGGTACAAGTCGAAGACAAAACAACTTGCTATGACAAAAAGTAGGAAAACACCCAAAAGCATGAGGGGGCAGATCACAAGATCAGAAGTCAAATTGAAAAAAACAGATCCACTGGCCAAATCTGGAAAAATTTGAGCACAAAATAATTAATTATGATTACTTATTGTAAGGAATTAGCAGTACTTTTATACAGACTTATAATAAGGACAATGTAATAAGGGAATTCTAAATCACTGAAAATTTCATAGGTTCCTATCAATTATAAGTAAACAAATGGGGGAAAGGAGGTCCTTTGCTTACAGTAGAATGCCAGGAGCTTAGTGGTAAATGTGGGAGGAATGCTGGAGTTATAAAATGCTCAATTTGCAGCCATCATAGAAGGATCAGGTAAGAGAGGGTTGGGCAAGAATCATCAATGGATGCTAAACTGAGGGCAAAATTTTGATGAGAAACAGGATGGTCTCAATGTGTATTCTCACATACTGCGTATCAGTTAAAAAATGAGAAGAGATTCACAGTGGAGAAATCAGACAGCACCTTTCCTGGTTGTTACTGAGGGACTTTCAGGGGACACAGGATCACTTATGCAGTATTTCAGTCATGAGAAAACATCAGACAAACAGAAGAGGAACTTACAATTAAAAAGTAAGATGAGACTTTGTTATTTTAAAATGCCAACATCATAAAAGACAAAGAATGGCTGACGAAAATGTTCCAGATTAAAGGAGCTAAAGAGACAGGATAGCTAAATATGTCATCTCATCCTGGATTGTATTCTGCACTGAATGGGGTAAATGCTACAAAGGATATTATTAGATCAATTGACAGTTTTAAATGTGGATATTTAATTAGATGAAATATTTTATCAAAGTAAATTTTTGAAGTCAGTAACTACAATATGTTTAGGGAAGAGAATATTCCTACTCTTAGGAAATACACACTGGAGTATTCAGGGGTAAGGGACCATGACATCTGTAATATATCATCAAATGTTTTGCAAAAAAAAAAAAAGTGTGCATGTAGCCCTGACTGGTGTGGCGCAATGGGTTGGGTGCCCATCCAGCAGAGCAAAAGGGCACATGCCTGGGTTGTGGGCCAGGTCCCCGGTTGGGGGTGTGTGAGAGGCAATTGATCAGTGTTTCTCTCTCACATTGATGTTTCTCTCCTTCTCTTTCTCCCTCCCTTCCTTTATCTCTCTCTCTAAAAATAAATAAAATCTTTTAAAAAATGTGTGCATGTGTATGTAATAGAAACAGAACAAGTAATGAAACATAGACTAAACTGCTTACAATAGATGAATCTTGGGTAAAAGGTATATGGATGTTTTGTGTACTATTTTTATTTTGCAACATTTTATCATTCTGAAATCATTTGCAAATAAAAAGTTAAGAAAATGACAAAAAAATTTCTCAGTTTCTTTCCTGGAGGTTCTCAATCAGTGGGTCTGAGGTAGACCCTGTGTATTTATGTTTTTAACCATTCGACAGGTGATAGCATCAGAGAAATGTGGGAAACATTACTAAGGCATTGTGAAGAACAAAAGAAAACAAGAAAAACTTAGTTAGAAGTGGGCAAAAGTCTTTCTTATTTTTAAAAAGGAAAACTCATTCTGCAAATCAGAGTCCATTCAGTAACAAGCTTGGTTTTAGGCAATATCTTAGAATAAGTTATTTTTCAACAGTACGTGTTCTCTTAAGGAACCTGTGATAAATAGCAGCCAGCAGTTCTTTAGGACTAATTCATGCCTAGTGAATGAACTTTGTTTGATTGATTGGTAGGCATTTGAAGGAACCTTTTTTTCCCTTTTCTCAGCCTTTGGAGTCAAATAGATACAGATTCAAAACCTGCCACTGAACTAGCTGCGTGACCTTAGATCTAATTTCTTACTTTCTCAGCTTCCTCACTTATAAAATGGACATAAAATACATACCAGATAAAGGTTGCCATGAGGACTAAAGACATACCTATATATGTACATAAAGTTTCCAGTACAGTTCCTTGTCCTTGTATTTTCAACTTCTGATTAAATGTATTATCTAAATGAAATACATAGGCTTTATGTATTTCAACAGCTACCATTTTTAAAAAAAAGGACATAGACTTATTTTTTTACCTTTAGAAAGTAAAATAAGTATCAGTGAGTAGAAAGTATGGAAAGGAACACATTCATTTACTTATGAACAACTTTGTAATAACTAACGCTGCCTTTAAAAAACAAAAGTATTACAAAGAAATTATAGAGTGATGAAATTGAACTAAACTTTATTATGCTAATCATTTTATACATATATCAAATCGTGTTGTGTACCTTAAACTTTTTATATAATGTTATATGTTAGTTATATTTCAGTAAAACTGGAAAAGAAATTTAAATACAGAAGGGACCACTGTAGAGATACTTATTACTAGTAGATGCTAAGCAACTTATCAGGGATACTACTGAAGGGACTCCTTCACAGCAGTTTAAATTATGACATCTCTGAGCACCCTTTTCACTCATGACTCTGAGGTTGCTCATGGAAGGATCCTAATTCATGATTGTGCAAATAATCACTAAATAATTTTTAAAAACATGGTTAGAAAAAAAGTTTTGTGTGTAAATCAGTACTTTTCAGGTCACACTTGCTGAGAACCAGTTTTAAAAACAGAACTAATATCAGACTTTCAAAACATCATCAGAGAGCCCTTGGCCCTCACTTCAACCCTAAATAAAGTAACATGAAAAATCAGAGCTTTGTATCTTTCACACATCTGAACTCTCTTTGCAATGGTTTTTAAACATGAAGGATTACAAAGAAAGTTGTCATGGCAGTATCTTGCCATTGTTATTTGAAATTTATTTAACTAAAGTCTATTGTAATTAATAAACTTACTGTAATTTAGAAAAAGGAAATTGTTTAATTGATATATGAGTAAAATTGTCTAAATTATTTTTTCTCATTAAAACTTCCTGAAGAAGGGAAAACAAAGTATTAATTATATTCATCAGCCATATTTAATATGTTTGGATTTTCTCCTAAAACTGCTGGGATTTTTGTTGGGAGGATTGATTTTCTTCATAAATTTTAACTGTTGAGCTGTGGTTATGAGACTTAGAAACTCTTACACTTTGAAAAGCCATTTAATGCCCACTGTATAAGAGCTGACTTGATTAGATGATATTATATAGAGCTAATAAAATTAAAATTGCAGGATATCATTAATCTCGGTCCAGGTATCCCAAATGAATATACTTTGTCACAAAGGGATCCTAGCTAGAAGAATATAATTGGGTCATATAGAGGAAAGGTAAACCTAATTAGAGCAACAAAAACTAATTTGAGTAGACTTTTTGGATAAAACAGAGGTAGATTTCTCCTTTTGCTGCTGAGTGGATAATTTATAAAAGCATTTAGAGGTAGTACAAAGCCATCTTAAAAGTTGTCTTTCAAAATCATAATATGTTCACCACAAATGTTCCTGTTCTATGTAAGGTACAGGCAAAGATTAAAAATGCTACAGTCTCTAGATATGTTCTGATAATGAAACAGAAAGACCATTTTATTCAAGTATGTGATTATTAAAACAGATGAAATCATCAGCTCTTCAGAAGTTGACCATTCTGTTTCATTCTATGATGAAATTTTTTTTAAGATTTTATTTATTTATTTTTAGAAAGGGGAAAGGAGGGAGAAGGAGAGGGAGAAAAACTTCAATGTGTGGTTGCCTCTCACACACCCCCTACAGGGGACTTGGCCTGCAGCAAGGCACATGCCTTGACTGGCAACCCTTTGGTTCATAGGCTGGCATTCAGTCCACTGAGCCACACCAGCCAGGGCTCTGTGGTGAAATATTTTAATGTCAAATACATATTCTCTGTCTTGAATATTTATCCTTGGTTTTCTAGCTATATATGATTGATGAACTAAGGAAGTATTATAGTGAGAAATGCTGTAAATATTTAAAATATGAAATAAATTAATTGCTGATTGAAATAGTGATATATATTTTTCTTTTTTAAGTTTTAATTTGAAGGGGTTGGCATTTTTAAAAAACAAACAGATTAGGTACCTTTTGCCAGAGTACTTAAGTACATATCTTTACTGTTTCTAGATTTACATGGTACGAGTCTTAAAACCAGGCCCTCAAAAGTAAAAACTATAAACAAATGTTGCTTTTGAAGGAATTTATCTAAACATTAGCTTTTTCTACACCTTTAGATTGTAAATCATGAAAATTACAAAATTTGAAGTTAGTTGATATTCACATCAAAACCAAGTCATTATATTCTCAAATCCAAAACATTCATTATAGCTCATTTTGAACAGAGCATGTGCTTGAATATCACACTCCCTAATCCTGGAACTGTTGTGACTAGAATTACCTGCAACCCATGTCTTACAAGACTTTTATATGCCTTTGCCACTAAGCCAATAGTTTCCAAAGTGCAGCCCCTAGAACTGCTGAATCAGAAAACTCTGGGATGGAGCCTAGTAAGCTGTATTTAACAAGCCGTCCACATGATTCTGATGCACATTGAAAGCTGGAGAACCAATTAAAGTAAAATTTTTGCATTCCTCCCCAGAGAAAGGGCGGCTTATTATCATCATCCTTCCACTTTCTACCACCTCATCTTCTCCTTCTCTTTGTTGTCTGAATATATTTCATCAGACCCAGTACATGGTTTCAGTAGCTTTAACCAAACCCTCTGTGTGTTGTACTGCTGAGCTCTGAGATGTCAGCAGAGGGATCACCATGCCTTCATTCATGTCATTGCTTATCCTGCTAAGCATGAATGTTCAAATGATTCCCCGTTTATGTCAGCAGGCAGAGAGTGTTCAGTAAAATCTGACGGAGTCTAGATGCCCTTGAGACAAAGTAATAAGATTGAAAATAGAAGCAACACATAACTAATATTTGTATTTTGGAGTAATAACTGGCATATTAAGAATTAGTGAAATGAGAAATTGAATATCAAGCAGGAAATGTATCATTAATTGTAGTAGTTAGCAGTGATAGGAAGAGAAGAGCACTTTCTTGAAAGTCAGGTCATGGCTCAGTATGGCTTTGAGTACCAAAAGAACCTTATTCTTCTGACTTTATGGGATATTTCAGTAATGTTTCTTAAAGCTAAATTTCCCACTTTATACTCCCCTCATTATTAACCTCTAAACCTTAAAAAGCCCTGCTTTCCAGCCATGTAAAACAACTTTATACTCATATCTATATTGCTAACTTTTAGGAGTTTCGGAATTTCAAGTAGGTTGACATTAGCACAGTTTTTCTCTAATCATACAGTGGCATTTCGTTACATCATTCTTATCTAAATGCATTGGGTAATATATAATATGTTAGTATACTTGTTTACTTGTTATACTTGCTATAGTTTATTTGTTATCATAAACTCAATTTTTTTTCCTAAAATATACTATGGTCTAAAACTTTACCATTGCATGTAAGTTACAATGAAGGAGAAATTTCCAGGGGCTCTCTGAAATCTTACTGGAATCTACATGGAATTTTTTTCTTAATCTAGGGAACTGCTGGCTCATATAGCTGGTTTAAGGACTGTGCAAGGATCTGTGTGGGTAGTACCTGCCTTTATTTTTTAGTGATGATATGTATTATAACAATATATACCTTCATTTTCTGCAAGGTTTTGAAACACTTGAATTAATCTTAATAACCTAGGTATATTTGGCCAGTAATGATGTTTTTCTTTCTTAATGTATTTGAGTTTAAAAATAAAGTTTATAGTAGTCAGTGATTGCTCTAATAATGATCATGTTCTCTTATTTCAAACAGCTAGTTAAAGGCCTTCAGCAAGAGCTGAATCGATTATATTCCCTTTTCTGTTCTCGGAATCCAGACTTCGAAGAAAATGGGGGTAAAGTCTCAATAGTGTCACATTCACTGGGATGTGTAATTACTTATGACATAATGACTGGCTGGAATCCAGTTCGACTCTATGAACAGTTGCTGCAGAAGGAAGAATTGCCTGATGAACAATGGATGAGCTATGAAGAACGACATCTTCTTGATGAACTCTATATAACAAAACGACGGTAAAATACCCTAGTCTCTTAAAATAATTTAAAATGTCTTCATGGAATTAATGGAATTCTTAGAAAACTTGAAGATTTTCATGATAAAGAAAAAATACATTTTTCAGGGTACAAAGATTATTAGATAACATACCTAATCAAGGAGAGACTATTTTCATGCTAACTACATGCATTTTCCTATCAACAGATTTTATAATTACTTGTGGCCTTCCATACTATTGTTTAGTTTGCTACAACTCCATCTTCCTGTGTAGTTACATGCTCTTCTTTGTCCTCTTAATGACTGTCCAATTGCTCTTAATATCACAGTGAAAAGTCACTCATTTTGATAGTTAGCATTATATAGAAATAACTGATTGAGTTGACTAAAATTTTTACTCAGGAAGTCTTGGGTTTGTTTTAGTCCAATAGGAGTTGTTTACAGAATTTTGCTTACAATCTTATGAAATACCATAGGCTAGATACATAAAGTTTACAGTGGCAAAATAATTGCTAGCTTTGAAAGAAAATGTCATGTTGGCAAGTCTCAGAACAGCATTTTAGGTATAAAATCCAGTAAAAAACATTGTTACACAGGCTTGTAAAATGAACTGCAACCTTTATTTTTTAACTTAGTTCCCTTGTTTATTAAATGTAAGTACAGAACAGTGTAATGGGGGGGAAAAATGAAATAACTCAAATGTTCACCAGCAGAGGAGGATTAAATAAACTGTAGTTCATTCGTAAGATGGACAATTAAACAGGTGTTAAAAAGATTAAAGTATATCAGGAGGCAGTGAAATGCAAAGATGTCTAGAATTCGTTATTAAATACAGGAACAAAGACATAGAATAATGTATATGGAATGAACATTTGGTGTGATTTTTTTTTTAAGGGGTGTATGTGTGCACGCGCTTTTATTTGCCTCACATTTTTCTAAAGGATCCACCAAAAAACCTACTAACATCAGGTATCATGTATGGATATATTTTTACTAATCATTTTATAAACTTTTATAGACTTTCTATACTACAGTAGGTGCCTTTATTACATACTGTTAATAGGGGTTAATTTGAGGGATTAGATAACTGGTCATCAGTTTCTTCCTTATACTTTAGTGAATGAACTAGTGAGCATCTAATTATTATGAAATTATAAATATGTATACATAATTTTATACTGTTTCCTAGGCTGAGAGAAATAGAAGAACGGCTACATGGATTGAAGGCGTCGTCTGTGACACAAATGCCTGCCTTAAAATTTAAGGTAAGGAAACACTTGAGGAGATTTTCATTATTTACCTCACTTTTTTTCCAAACAGCATTTGAAGCATGGCACTAGGATTCAAATGAAATTTTAATTATTGTTCTTTCAAAGTAATTTTTATTGAACACATACTATGTGTTGGATGGACACTGCTAGTTTCTGCAGTCTGCAAAGAATAGACAAGACAGTTCCCCAGACCTTAAGATATATAACACAGTGTTATTGGTACGATTAGCAGTATGCTGAACGATGTATGTACGAGAGAGAGAGGTTTTTATTTTTGGCTAAAAGGGTTATAAAGGAATGACATTTGTACTTGATATCAGTAAACTATAATGTTACTAAGTGGAGGAGAGGAAAAATGCCATTCTGTGTAAAAGAAAGAACATAGGTATGGAGGGATATAACTTTATAGTACCTCCAAGAAACTTTCTCAAGTAGTGGAGAAAGAAAAATAGATACAGATCTGGGAAATATTTATAGTACCTCCAAGAAACTTTCTCAAGTAGTGGAGAAAGAAAAATAGATTCAGATCTGGGAAATATTTAGTATTTAGAATTAACAAACCTATGTGCCCAGCTATTTGTGAGTGGAAGGAAAATAAGTAGAAGTACAACAGTGGTGATTCTAGGGGTGGAAAGCTGGCATTTCAGTCAGTGAAGAGTGTGTGATGGAAGCATAAGATGGGATACAAGTGGTTTGTTTGGAGGCGGGTGAACAGACCAGTTAGGCAAATGTCCAGGATTCAGGGCAGGGTGCACTGTGGAAGAGCAGGAGGAGCTAGAAATAAAGAACTTAAATTTGATACGGGCAATGGGAAGCTCTTCAGAGTTTTTGGGCATCAGAATGGAGTTGTCAAAAGAAATGGTTTAGAGGAATAAAAGTGGCAGAGAGATGTTGACATTCTCCTCACTGTTGAAAAGAACATAGCCTATAGCTGAAAAATAATTTGTTTGCATTGTTAAATGGAGTATGGCATAAGTTTCCTAATGCTCATTTTCTGCTGACTATATGCCCATGTTTAGTGTATTACATTATCTCTTCTTAAAATCTGGTTGTTTTTAATCACAGGAACTTAATATACAGGTTAAGTAATGGAATGATGCAGAAATTTTTTTTAAATAGAAAGAATTTGGGGGAACACTTTGCAAAGTGTATGATTGTATGATTATTATGCTGTACACCCGAAACCAATACAAAATAATATTGAATGTAAACTGTAATTGAAAAAAAATTATTAAATAAAACATTCAGAATTTTCTTAATAGAGTCTATCTCCAGAACTTGTAAAGGTCTTTTTTTTTAACTTATACACTCAAAAACCATAACCAAATTTATAACATACATTTAAAAGCCATAAGAGCATAGTCTTTGGAACCATCCCCACCTGGAATTTGAGTCCCATCTTTATCACAATTAAAATATATAATCAATGTCAAATACATAGAATTGATCTGGTAAAAAAAGTGAACTCTTCTGTTTTGTGTCCTGGGTTTTTTACTGAAGAGTTGAGTGTGATCCACTAAGATGTATTAGGATCTCAAAATTTAGTATCACATTACTAATAATTATGTACTCTAATCATGTATCTCAGTATAAGGTCATATGTAGTCTAATGATATAGATTTAAAATTATTAATTACTCATAGAGGAAAAAATATAGAAATCTAAAGTGTGAAAAGGAATGTCTGATGAATTCGCAAGTTAATATTTAGGACTCCAGAGGCCTAAAAAGGAACAGAAGTCTTCGGTGCCTATTAACTGGCAGATGTATTTACTTTCAGAATACAGGTGTTAGATATGTTGTAAGTGACTACTGAACTTTACAAAAAAAAATATCGGCCGACTTTGGTCTGGAGAATGGGAAACTGATTCTGATCATGAGGCTTTGCCACTAACTGCAATACTTCAAACTTAGTATGCACAAAAATAGAATTTACTGAAGAGTTTCCTGTTACAATTAATGGAATCACTAGCCTCCCAGTCAGCTAGAATCTAATCTTATGAATTACCTCTGACTCATCTCTCATCCCCGTCACCATTCATTCATGTTCATTCCACCCTGTCCTCTCATATTTTCATTTCTGAATGGGACAGCTAGTCTTGCCTGGGTTTACCTAAACTCAGTAATTTCCTACCTTGTCTCCAAGTCACCAGCCTCTCAATTTTCCAATTTATCCACAAGCTACTACCAAGTTTACCAACCTCCTAAAACATGAGTCAAAATCGTGTTCTCCTTTACTACCTGTAAAATAAATTAAGTCCAGCTGTCTTGGTCAAACAGTCAAGGTTCTGTAACATTCTCTCACTCCAAGCTACATTTTCCCCATAACCAATTTTTCAACCATGTCAGACTTTCTGTTCTCTAAATTAAGCCAGGTTCTCTCCTGCCTCTGCTTTAATTCATGTGGTTCCAGCCCCAATGTCCCAACCCCAGCTGTGGAAATTCTTTTCATCTTTTTTGGCCCATGCAAATGCTTCCTTCTTTGCAAAACCCTCAGAATTGAAATAAATTATTCCTTTCTCTGTTCTCTCTCTCTTTTATTTTTAATTTTTATTTATTGAATTTAGAGAGAAAAAAATACTGATTTGTTGTTCTACTTATTTACACATTCATTGGTTACTTCTTACATGTGCCTTGGCCAGAGATCAAACCCAAAACCTTGGCTTATTGGGACGACACTCCAACCAACTGAGCTACCCAACCAGGGCTTTTTCTCTCTTCACTTATAGCAACACTTTTCCACCAGTGTGCCACAAAAATTTTTTAAACATGGAACACCTGACTGTTCAGTCAAGGACACCAACCTCTTTTCCGTCCGATTGTCGATTAAAAAAAGACAACAGTCAACAATAGCCATTCGTATGAATGAATCAAAATTAAACCTATTTTTTATCAGATCAGCAAAAAAGATTATTTTTTGGTGTGCCACACTTTTAATGATGTATTTATTTGTGCCATGAGATAAAAGAGGTTGGAAATCACTGTCTTACAGCATACTTTCCCTATCTTCTGCACTTAGTTTATTCTGCCTTCCACAGAAGATTCTAAACTTGAGTGCAGAAACTCTGCCTTATTCATCTTTATATCATCCAGAGAATCTAGCATGTTACTTCACATGAAATAGTAGGCTAATAAATCTTTGACTAGTGTATATAAGCATAGTGAAATTACCTTTCTTCTTATCCTTCTCATTCATTTTCTATTTAAAGATATATTTAAAGTTTTTCCTACAAATAGGATTACATGGAATAATTAATGATTGGCCTATAGTTAACAAATAATGCAGATGCCATCTAGACAAAACTCATAGAAAAAGACATGTATTTGGAGATAATTTTGTCATTTGTATTTTACCATATGTTATGTTGTACCCAAATTCTATGGAAAAACACTTTGCTGTTTTTAAAATTTTGAATGACCTTGCCCTGGCTGGTATGGCTCAGTGGACTGAGTGCTGAACTGCAAACCGAAGGGTTGCCGGTTCGATTCCCAGTCAGGGCACATGCCTGGGTTGCAGGCCGGGTCCCCAGTAGGGGGCGCATGAAAGGCAACCATACATTGATGTTTCCCTTCCTTCTCCTCTCTCCAAAAATAAATAAATAAAATCTTTAAATAAAAATAAAATTTTGAATGACTTTATTATTTTAGGTTGAAAATTTCTTCTGCATGGGATCCCCACTGGCAGTTTTTTTGGCATTACGTGGCATTCGCCCGGGGAACACTGGAAGTCAGGACCATATTTTGCCCAGAGAGATTTGTAACCGGTTACTAAATATTTTTCATCCAACAGATCCAGTGGTGAGTTGCATATATAGACATTTTTCTCCATTAAATTGTTCTTAAAAGAATTTAAGAAACCTTGCAAGGTACCACTGAATTAATAAGAAAGAGTTAATTTAACAATTTTATTTCTCTTTTTAAACATTGGTGTTTCAGATGACATAGGACTGAGGAAATAAAATACCTTAGGGATGACCTGTTTATGTTGTACTCATAGTATAAGAGTAAAATGTAAAAATGCTAATACAAGGGACAGAAATCCTCTGCACTTTCAAACCATAACCAGTTGCACTACCAATAACATAGCAGTCATAAACTTTGAGAATCTCACTTTAAATACTTTTTCTCTAAAGCATGCTACAGTATCAAAATGTGTTTGGTAGATCCTCTTAGAAATGAAAATATTTAAATACTATGTATTAAACATGAAAAAGTGGAAGAGTTTGTTTTAGCCTGATGAAATTATAAACTTGGGATTTTTATGTTTTCTATTATGTTTGTATTGTAAATTTTTTTAAAATGTAAACACTCCAAGTATCTTGCATCCAGGTAAACAGTTTAATGCATCATTTTTTAGATGAGAAAAATGCTTCCTTAAGTCCTTTGGGGGACAAGGCTAGATATAACTAAATTTAAAGCAAACTATTTAAAATAGCATTCTGAAAAATAGCTTTATATAATTGTGTAAAGTCTTTTTAAAAGATTGTTAGCTCTAGTGCTCAGGGGTACAGCTGGAAGACTTTCACTCTTTAAGCCTAACAGAAAGCCTGAAGGCAGAGCCAGATCTCTGGGAGCTCTGAGACTGTAGCCAACCCACCCCTCGGCCTGGTGCTGGTAAAAGCCAGCCTTGGTGTGCAGCCTGGTTCCTCCTGCACACACCCAGGCCAAGAGAGGGAGCCACATAAGCTGTGGATTGCTGATAGCTCCAAACAGGTTGCCTAGGGCCCCTCACAAGCTGGGTTTGACTTCGGTCTGCACTAGAGTCTTTGCAGATCTACCTAATACATAGAAACAAACACAAAGAGGCAGCCAAAATGGGAAGACAAAGAAACAGGCCCCAAATGAAAGAACAAGAGAATTCTCCAGAAGAATTAGATGAAATAGAGGCAAGCAATTTATTATCAGATAGAGAGTTTAGAGTAATGATTAGAAATATACTCAACAACTTTAAAAAAAAAAGACATAGAAACCATAAAAAAGGACCAGTCGGGAATAAAGAGAGCAATACCTGAAATAAATAATACACTGGAAGGAATAAACAGTAGGTTAAATGAAGCAGAGGATCAAGTAATTTGGAAGACAAGGTAGAAAAAAACACCCAAGTAGAACAGTAAAAAGAAAAAAGAATTTTAAAAAATGAGGCAAGCTTAAGAAACATTTGGGACAATATGAAGCATAACAGTACCCACATCACGGAAATACCAGAAGGAGAAGAGAGTGAGCAAGGGATTAAGAACCTATTCAAAGAAAATAATGAACAAAAACTTCCCTAATCTGCTAAAGGAAAAGGACACACAAGTCCAGGAAGCTGAGAGTCCCAAGCAAATTGGACTCGAAGAGTCCTACACCAAGGCACATCATAATCAAAATGGCAAGGCTTAAAGACAAAGAGAGAATCCTAAAAGCTGCAAGAGAAAAGCAGTTAGTTACATACAAGGGATTACCAATTACACTGTCAACAGAAACATTTCAGGCCAGAAGGGAGTGGGGTGAAATATTCAAGGTGATAAAAAGCAAAGATCTATAGCCAAGGCTACTTTACCCAGCAAGGCTATCATCTAAAATTGAAGGAGAAATAAGGAGCTTTCCCGACAAGTAAAAGCTAAAGGAATTGATTAACACCAAACCAATACTGCAACAAATGTTTAAAAGGGCTTGCTTTAAGAAGAAGAAGGTGTGGGGAGGGGAGAGAATACAAAATTAATATCCAGAAACCAGTTGCATTTTTATATGCCAATAATGACTAACAGAAGGGAAATTTTTTAAAAATTTATAATTGCTTCAAAAAGAATAAAATACCTAGCAGTAAATCTAACCACAGATATAAAAGACCTGTACTTGGAAGATAAAAATAAGTGGAAGCACATACTGTGTTCATGGATAGGAAGAAATAATACCATTAAAGTATTCATACTACCCAAAGCAATCCATAGATTCAATGCAATTCCTATCGATTCCAATGACATATTTCACAGAACTAGGACAGATATTTGAAAAATGTACACGGAACCACAGAAGATCCCACATAGCAACAACAATCCTGAGAAAGAAGGAAGGAGGAAAGGAGGGAGGGAAGGAATCACGCTACTTAATATCAAACTAATACTGTAAGGCCATAGCCTTATCAAAACAGCATGGTACTAGCATAAAAACAAGACACTTAGATCACTGGAACAGAATATAGAGGCCAGAAACCCACACCTTTATAATCAATTAATATTTGATAGAGGAAGCAAGCACATACAGCGGGCTAAAGATAGTTTATTCATTAAATGATGTTGGGAAAGTTGGACAGATATGTGCAGAAAAATGAAACTAGATTACCTTCTTACACCACCTATAAGAATAAATTCAAAATGTGTTAAAGACTTAAATGTTAGACCTGAAACCATAAAAATCATAGAAGAAAACATAGACAACAAGATCTCAAACATTGCTCGTAGCAATATTTTATCAGATATAGCTCCCCAGGCAAGGGAAACAAAAGAAAAAAAACAAATGGGACTACATCAATCTAAAAAGTTTTTGCACACAAAAGGAAAACAACAAAATTAAAAGAGAGCTCACAGAATGGGAGAAACATTTGCCGATACATCTGATAAGGGGTTAATATCCAAAATTTATAAAGTACTTAGGAAACTCAACACAACTAAAAAATGAGCAAAGGACCTGAATAGACTCTACTCCAAAGAGGACATACAGATGTTTAGTAGACACATGAAAAGATGCTCAATGTCACTAATCATCTGAGAAATGCAAATTAAAACCACAGTGAGATACCATCTCACACCTGTCAGAAAGGCTATCATCAATAAATCAGCAAACAACAAGTGCTGATGAGGATGTGGAGAAAGGGGAACCCTTTTATACTGTTAGTGGGCATGCAGATTGGTGCAGCCACTGTGGAAAGCAGAACTAGAGATACCTCAAAAAATTAAAAATGGATCAGCCTTTCGACCCAGTTATCCCACTTCTGGGACTATATCTGAAAGAACCCAGAACACTAATTCGAAAGAACATAAGCACCATGCAAAGCACTCAGTGCATTGCAGCATTATTTACAATTGCCAAGATATAGAAGCAGCCCAAGTGTACATCAGTAGATGAGTGAATAAAACTATGGGATATTTACACAATGGAATATTACTTGGCCATAAAAAAAGAAGAAAGTTTTACCCTTTGCAACTGTATGGATGGACCTGGAGAACATTATGCTAAGTTAAGTAAGCCAGTCAGAGAAAAACAAATACCATATGATTTCACTCATACACAGAATCTAATGAACAAACTGAACTAACAAGAAAAGCAGGGACAGACTCATAGATGGAGACCAGATGACAGCTAGTGGCGGGAGGCAGTCAAGGGGGTGGAGGAATTGAGCGAAAAGGAAAAAGGACTCATGGACATGGACAACAGTGTGGTGATTGCACGGGGGAGGAGGCATAGGCAACTAAATGATAGTGGGGAAAAAATACAACAAAAAAAAATTTTTAAAGATTGTTAGCTAGTATCAAATAAATACAGTGTTGACTAAACACTAGAATTTTAGAAATTTTTCCCTTATGTTAAAGAATCAGAACTGATATATTTAAGAAGTAAAGTTCTCTGAACTGGAATGTAATACAAAATTTAAATGCGGACTGCACAATCTTGGCCAAGTCACTTCAGAGACTGTTTCTTATCCATATAATACAGATAATAATATTTACCTCATAAGGTTGTTAGGAAAAGTAATATACGGGGCCTGGCACAAATAATGCCCTTTTTTATTACATAGAAATCTTACAGGTTTCTGTGCCGTTAGAGCTATTGCAAGCATGGTGAACATTCCTAAAACCCGCCAGACTTTCTGTAAGAAGTGCGGCAAGCATCAACCCCACAAAGTAACACAGTACAAGAAGGGCAAAGATTCTCTGTATGCACAGGGAAAGCGGCATTAGGACAGGAAGCAGAGTGGCTATGGTGGGCAGACTAAGCCAATTTTCCAAAAAAAGGCTAAAACTACGAAGAAGATTGTGCTGAGGCTTGAATGTGTTGAGCCTAACTGCAGATCTAAGAGAATGTTGGCTATTAAGAGATGCAAGCATTTTGAACTGGGAGGAGATAAGAAGAGAAAGGGCCAAGTGATCCAGTTCTAAGCTTCATTTTTTGTTTTATTATGTGACAATAAAATCTTGAGGATATGTTCAAAAAAGAAAATCTTATAAAATCATAAGCATGTGATTCTGTAACATAACGATATCACACTCAAGCACATCACATGGCATTTTAGGTAAAATGTTCAAATTGCTGTCCATTTCATTTGAGACTCTCACGTACCCTACCAACGACACTCAAGCAAGTGTCATTTCTGTTGGACCCTGTATATGTGAAGACATGAAGCTATATGTTCAGTATGTCATTAATCTGCATTAATTTATCTCATTCTTTTTATAACTTGACTATGAGCTTTCAATGTCCTTTGTATAATGTTAAACTTTGTTGTAGTATAAAGAAGGATTGCAATCTCATTAATAATATTTTTAATTCATTTTATCTATTTCCTGTAATTTTTTTTAAGTAACGCTTTTTTAGTGTAAATGTCAGAACTGTACTAGGCAGTTTTTACAAATGTTATCTGTTCTTTCCAGCATACTTGAGAGGTAGGAAGTCTTATCTCCTTTCTATAGGTCAGAAAACTGAAGCTTGAGACCTTGTGACTTGGTTTCATACAGGTCATATGCAATGGAGGCCAGAATATGAACTCAGGGAAATCTGACACCAAATCCATTGCCATATTTTGCTGTATCATCTCCGCTTCACATTAGACAAATAGTGTAGTATCTGCCTCTAACTTGTGTGTTACTATGTTAATCTGTTTGAAAATAGAGTTTACTAAAAGCTCCTGAGATACTAAGAATTGACTTTCTTTCCTGTGTTCCAATTTATTTGTTACAGCTTCAGCTTTATTTGTGAGACTAAATAAATCTGTTAGATGATATCAAAACATAACAAAAAAAGAATTTATTTGTCTGAAAAACTAATTAATGGGTACTATTAACCTAGACTAACTCTAATTGTTTTTTTTTTCATAGTTTCATCATTAAGGAACTCTTAGACCAATTACATATTATTAAGAATAAACATAGAAATACATGTTAGAAATAACAGGTTTTTAAAATTTCCTAAGGTCTGCTGAGCATTCACTAGAAAAAGAATAAACAGAGTTTACTAAAATCTGAGCCTTAATGTTATGTTTCTTTGAATTTTTTTTTTTAAATCAAGGCTTATAGATTAGAACCATTAATACTGAAACACTACAGCAACATTTCGCCTGTCCAGATCCACTGGTATAATACTTCTAATCCTGTACCTTACGAGCACATGAAGCCAAGCTTTCTCCACCCAACAAAAGAACCTACCTCAGTTTCAGAGAATGAAGGCATTTCAACAATACCAAGCCCTGTGACCTCACCAGTCTTGTCCCGCCGACACTATGGAGAATCTATAACAAATATAGGCAAAGCAAGCATATTAGGTAATTTCTCTTCAGTATTCCTTATCAATGAATATAAGTACTTTTTATACAGTCATTAAATTGGGAGTATTTGGAAATATTCTGTGTGTTACAAACCACCAACAGGTAATTCCCGTGTTGAGAATTAATTACCCTCTCACTGTTCATATTTGAGCACCAAAGCCCAGAAGTTCTCTAAGTAGATCAGATCCTATAGTTTTACTTTGTGAGACGCCTGGATGCACAAGAAAAGGTATGGGGATCAAGTCCTTCATTTTAATCTTGTCCCTACCACTTCTTGTGGGTCAGATCATAGGTTTAAATATATCCTCTGTGAAATGAGATACTTGGTTCAAAGAATACACCTGCCAACTAGCTCTCTGACCCATGTCCCAGAAGTCTCTTAAATGGTGTCCTTCCTGAGGGCAACAAGGATATTTAATTTGCCTCTGAATGATGTCCAGTACCAGCCACAATGTTTGGTGTAGCATGAAGGTCAGTTAGCTGCCACTTCCATTTGTCCGTTGCTTTTGCTTACAAGTTGCCTTAATATAAAATGCCACAAGATGGCGCTATAAATAGGCTTGACTTGCTGGTTTAATTTCTGTTTTGCTCCGTCATACAGATTGTTTATTGACAGCTTTTTATAACGTACCACTTAACTTCAGTATTGAGCATGTCAGTAATAAATATATGCCCATGTCAATGGCATGGTTCATAAAAGTTTTTAATCTTACCAAATACTTCAATAAATAATGACCACTTGAATAAAATAGAATCTTTATTCCTTTGTAAGCTATATCCCTAGAGTTTGTACACTCTCATTCTGTTTAATACCATTTTTATTTATAAATCTGCAATATAATTGTGATTTTTTTTTTTAATGTTCCCACCCTGGAAAAATATGACTAGGGCTTGGTCCCTCTGCCAATTGGCTGTGATTATGGGTGGTGCTCTTTAGTTTGGTATGTGGTGTAATTCAACAGAATGACTGCCCTGTTTTGTGAAATGCAGGGGCTGCTAGCATTGGAAAGGGACTTGGAGGAATGTTGTTCTCAAGATTTGGACGTTCATCTACATCACAGACGTCTGAGACATCAAAAGACTCAATAGAAGATGAAAAGAAGCCAGTTGCCTCACCTCCTACTACTACCGTGGCAACACAGACCCTTCCACATAGCAGTTCTGGCTTTCTTGATTCTGCATGTTAGTTCATACTGTTCTTTCCTTAAGTTTAAATACTGTTATCTTTTTTAAAATTGAGCATAGCAGAGAGGATTAAGATATTAATGTTAGCAGTTAACTGTAAAATCTAAAGCTTTTAAATTAAAAATGCTGTTTTGCTGCCTACATTTTTAAGACTAATTCCAAGTAAATGGTTATTTTACTCTCCACATTGGTGAATTAATAATAATCAGGGCCTTGTGGCACAGGGGTCCTAGTATGGAGCATAAAACAGATCTCTTTGAGGTAAGTACCACCTGGTTTTTATAAAGTAGATTTTTAAAAAGATGGCCTTCTCAGCCTTAAAAATTCATGCAGTTGCATCAGACCTGTGCTGTATCTACTCTTGATACTTGTTAAAAACTGCGACACCAAAGCCATCCTGTACTGATCCCTCTGTTTCTTTTATCCAACCTAATTATAAAATTCTCAATGCTTCCATTAGTATTGGATCCACTGTATGGCTTATGCCAGTTCTATCCCAGCTACATAGCATAAAGCATGTGCTCAAGAAATGAGTGCATGACTTGGCATTAGAATGGAGGTGTATTTAATGTTTTCTAATAGACCTATAAGGTTTAAAATCTTGAGTAGTTGTGAAACACTAATATAGTTACTTAGTATAGATTAACTTCCAAGGGTCTAAACTTGACCCTCATTTTTAGGAGTTCAGTAAAATAAGACTAAAAAGTTAAATCCTGTTTTTCCATTAAATTATATAAGGAAATGTAGATTCTGAAACAAGCTACTCCTTTCTGTAACTATAGCAAGAGGAAGACATATTTCTCTAAAAATTTTTAAACATTATATTTCAAATACTTAAAGTCTTGTTACTGTGTCTGCTACTCTAAATTTTAAAATGACCAGCAGTCATCTATAAGTTACTGTGTCTACTATTCTAAAATGACCGTTGCCATCTATAAAACTTAATTAAACAGGAAGTTTGGTTGTGACAGTTCTAGAGGCTGGTTCTTTCTCCACAGTCACTCCCACCTCAGAGTGGTGAATTATCCTGGACATGCCTGAGTTGGACATTCCTATTTAGGCCAATAACATTGTTTTAACTTAATCTTTGTCAGATCCTGAATACTGAACATTTTATAATTGCAAGCCTTTTGAACAACTGCATAGAAAATTCATTTGAGACTTTGATATTTACAAATTTCATATTTTAGTTTTCTTATGAGAGTTCCTATACTGACGCTGACTTAAGCTTTCACTTCTACTTAATATCAGGATTGTGATTGTGAAAATACAAAATCCTGTTATAACATGCAGATTTCAAAAAAAACTCTAAACTTCTGAGGAAAAATAATTTCTAAGAATTTTTTAAGATGGTAGGTAAAAAGTCACAATTCTTAATGCACAGCAAAGATGCTAGTAAATAATGGCATTGAATGGGAGAACAAATAAGAGCAGGGTAGGTACCCCAAGAGAAAGGGTAATGAAGACAGAGAATAGGATCTGAGGGAGAAAAACTATTTTTTAGTGGTTTGGGTTTCTTTTGTTTTGTTTTACTATTTAACATAGTAATTTCAGAATGATAATAGAGAACTCTGTCCTTTCAGGACAACAGTGAATATAGGTACTTAGAGCTATATTATATCATTATGTTTTGATAGCTTAACAAAATACATTTGCTGTCATTCTTACATATAAATTCTTTGTTGGTCCTAATGGTAAACTCCTTGTCACCTATATACTCTACTCAATCTGAGCTAATCATGAATCTTAGTTACATATATTCATCTCTAGATATGTAGATGTAACTTAAAATTGGGCAACTACTACTGCAGTAGAATTCTGCCTTTTACATCGAATCCTTAAGATTTGCCTTACTAATTCTTTGACTTGCTTCAATGATACTCTTTTCTGTGTAAACCTGGTTTGGACAAATTTCTTAAGTCTTAATTGCTATTTTGGCTATCTCTTGCAAATCATAAAACTTCCTTAAATCTTTTCTCTTCTTTTTGGAATTTTGTCTTTGTGATTAGGTAATTCTGGCTTCTTTCCTTCTTCCTGCTCACTGATTGCCTCAGTTTTTCTCCATAACCTTTATTCTGAAGCTACCAACTTTGATTCTCTCTTTGAGGATAAGATGGACACAGACTTTGAAATCATAATCAATCAGGGTTTCTGTCTTTGAAGACTAAGTGCTCTCAGTTGTCATCAAGTTGATAGCACTCACTATTCTTCATTTCTTTTGAAAAAGTCTAGGCCTTTTTCCAGTGCTTTTACTATTCCATTTCTTATGCTCCCTGGTGTTTGTAACATTAAAAGGAAAGATCTGTTTCTTTTAGCATTGTTTTTGCCTCTAGGTCAGAACTTAAATGAACTATACCTTTTGGGGATATCTAGGTATTAACAGATTATGACATTGTATTTCAAAATTAATTATGCTTACATTTTCCATGAAAGAACTCTTCACAAAAAACAAAATGTGTTCTTCTTTATGTATTCTAGGTTCAATCAGCTTATTTGGGAGTATTGTTCTAACTTTTGGCCACTGCTTCATTGAAGGCCATTTGTAACTATCAGCTAACACTTTACAGCATCTTGTGTTTTTTTTTTCACAGATATCAGACTTCAGGAGTCGTTCTTTAATCTCCCACAACTTCTTTTTCCGGAAAATGTAATGCAGAATAAAGATAATACCCTCGGTATGGTATATGTCAGGAATAGCATTCAGAATACTATGAAAAATCTACTAATAGAGTTCTTCTGCTTGTTGAAAAAAAATCAAATTCTTCTGTGAAATCAGCCTATAGACTACTTTATATGTACTTTCTTTCAGTATTTTCTAATCTTAAATGGTAGTGATCATGAAACCAAACTGCTGATTAGTGCATAATGAGTTAAAATATATGATACTCCTGTACACTCCTACAAAGGAAGAACCTTTTAGAGAGAGAGAAAAGCATGCTACTTTTTCTTCTCTCTTGTCCTCAAGGCTTCAAAAGAGGTTCACTATTACTTTTCACGTACTACACTAGATAAAAAATCCTAGTAAAGGATTTAATCATACCTAGTTTTTTCAGATATTAGTAACACTACCACTTAGAGCTTTCGGTATATCATCAGCTGATACCTGGTTTCAATACAAACATGTAATATTCTTTAGAAGAGTAGGTTTGCTTTAAAAATCAGTATTATTGAATGTGAGAGATTGTCAGTCTCTTAATTTTCAGCAGATTCTGTATATCATGAAGGATTGATCTTAGCAGTTTAAATTATTTTTATCAATTAACTTCTCATTCCTTTTTCCACAAATCCTTTTTCCATTTTTTAAAAAATAGCGGATTTTGTCTTTAACAAGAGATATGTTACAGGTTTTTCTTTGGATATTTTAACCATATCTAATTTTATAATTTCTGCATTGCTAATTTTCATACATTTTTCTTTTCTTTTTTTTTCTATTTTCAAAACTACTCTTTATTTGATACAAGTTTCAAAACATTGTTTCAGTATAACAAGCTGATTGGGGTTTGGGTTTTTTTCCTCCCTAACCACAGTTTGTGTTGATCTAACTAAATGAATTTCCCTCAAGAAATGAGTTTACAACAGTGCTCATTCTGGTCCCCACTTATGTAATTTTTAGTTTCTTCCACAAAGAACTAATTCAATTTGTGCTTTTTTTGAGGAGGGAGCTGGACTCTGTCCCACAGAGTACGCTGTGGGTTGACACAGATAGGGAAATAAAATAAGTCGTCCCAGAAATTTCTCTTTTCTGCCAGGCAAAGGGGTGCCAATCCCCTCTAGTGGGGAAGGCCCTGAGCTTCTGTGTCCAATGACTTATTTAAAGGGTTATCAGTGGGGCTAGGTAGTAGGAATGTACAAGTGATCTCAGTACATCAGTATGTTAATGTTTACAGAGAATAGGTGATGTTTTAAAGAAAACAAATGACAGGGACACACCGATATACGTGGGTCCAAGACTAGATGAATAAACATTAGAGCATAAAACATACGAGTGCCAAAGGTTTTAGGGTCAGGGTCTGTGAATAATGTAAATTTCCTTCCCAGCATGAGCTGGTTATCATAGCTTTTGAGGGGAAAACAAAGCATGCTTCAAAGAATTTACTTCCAAGCCTCATTTCTCCTTGGAACAGCCCGATCCAGCTTAGAACTGTCTCCAGTATTGTTTCAAGCCCAAGCCAGGCTGGGGGATCAGAGCCGCCAAGAGATAAAGAAGCTTCTTTCAGATAGAATGAGGATCCTGGCCATATCAAAGCCAAGGGTTGAGGGTCCTTTGCCCTTTCTCCATGTCCCCCAAGTTCTTCCCTGATGCCCCTGTATGACTGTGCCTGTCTTAGGTTGCCCCTTCTATCAAGTGGTCTTACCTGTCATTGACTAACCAGCCATCCTTCGGGGCCAAGCAGGGTGATGTGAGGGAGACAGGGGCTGTGCCCCTGCCAGGGGGCCTGGTCTAGTCTCCTCAATGGCCTATTTTCCCAAGGCTTCCTTGCTTAACTCCAGTCTTGGGGCCCTGTTGCCTGTTGGCGGGGCTGCAGTCCCTGAAACCAGAAGGGATGGTTCCCAACACTTTTTGCTTATTTAATTGGAGAAAAAAACATTCATTCATTCATACATTTGTCCTGTGTTCTAGTAGCCCTTATATCTTCTATCTTAAAGCCATCGTAACTACCTAAGCCATTAGACTACTGATCATAAACACACCAAACTGATTCATTTGGTAATATGTAATGGCTCCTATTTTCTCTTCCCATTTTTATTCATTCTACAATTATTTATTAAATGTTTACCATAGCAAAGATACCAAAGTAGTCTCTAGAAAATATACCAAGATCAAAAAGACTTAAGTACCACCCACAAAGATATTAAGTGCTGGTGTGGAAATAAAGTATTTTCCACACGGCATATATTCAAGTAGGGAAGGTAGATAACTACATAAATAATTATAATATGTGGTAGAATGTGACGAGACACAGAAGTACAGGTAAAGGATTCTTTCAGTTCTAAGGAATAAGGAAATGATTTCACCTGGAGAAATAATAAATGGCTTCATTGGAAGTAGGATTTAGACAGGCAGAGATTTAAAAAACATTGCAAGAGAAGAAAGGGTAAGCAAAAGCACAGAGGTGGGAAGCATGGAGTGTGTAAAGAACCAGAAGTTCATTTTCTTGAGAAGTACCAGGGATGAGTGGAAGTGAGTTCTGAATATAATTGGGAAAGTTTCTTAAACCAGACTGTAGAGGATCCAACAATCTTTCCATCTCCTGGAGATTTTTTGTATTCAAGATTTACCTATGGGTCTCTATTTACCCACATAGCCCATCTGTTGTCAAATGCAGGTATTTAAATGTTTTTCATGGTAGATAAGTGTCGAGAAACTTTTTTGGCAGAAATGACAACTGAATATAAAACTTTTTAGAGTTTCTTTTAGTTATTTTTCTCAAGTAAAGGATGGTTGGAGAATATTCCTAAATGTATTTGGAGCTATGATAGTTCATAAATGTTAATATTCTTTGAATGTCAAATACCTAAGCACATGAAATATATAGTTGCTCTGAGGCAGTGCAAAAGTAAGGCATAATTGGCTAACAAGAACTCTAAGCATAATCTATCTTACTACAGATGAGTCTTTCACCTGACATTTGGAAACACAGTTTCCTTTACAGTGCTTTATTTTTCTTTGTGTCTACCTGGAGCCAAAAATCATGCAAATATGACCATAATTTTTACTTAAAAATAAGATAACTTTCAAGATTCATTAAGTTTTAAAAAGTTTCTTTCTAGGGACGTTAGGATGCTTCCTTTAAATAGTAGTAACCTGTCCGGTTAGTGCATATTATAATACTAAAGTGCTTTCTTTCTATGCACATGTTATTTTTTTAATACCACATCCATGTTGACAAGCCTTACACACAAGAGAATTCTCTGATGAAAACACAGTACTGAAGACACTTGACCTTCACATGATATAGATTGCAGACATTTGCTTTGGGGAATAGGGAGGGGAATATGCTCATATGCATGAATCCCCAGAAAGGAAAATAATCCATGTTTTAAAACATATAAGCAAACTGCTGACTGTTAAACACCAACTTTTTTTCCCCTCATTTTTACTTGAGCTGTTCAGGAATCTCATTCTTTTCTTTGTGAATAGAATTCTAGCACTTAGGCACTGGTGGAAGAGAAAGAAGTACAAAGTGATGATTTTGTTTTCTTTGACTTAACTCAGTAAGAGAAACTGGAAAAAAACTACCAACCTGTTCAGTGCTACCCATTCTTTATATGGTAATCATGAGAAAGGTCCAGGGCAACTCCATGTGAATTTGGGCCTACTGTGGCCAAGAGCACATCTCACAGCACATAGGGCAAAAGCAGATTCATAGTTCATATGGAAAATATTACAATAAATAATACCAAGAATAAATTCTGTTTTGCATACTCACAACTATAAACCTACTTTTGCTCCTCCCTGTCTAGAATGGTGCTGTCATGTAGAACATCCCTTGGGAAATCTGTGATCGGTATAACAGGAGAGAGAAGATGAGACATAGGCCCATCTAGTTCTAACCATCCACCTGCAGAATCAACACAAATGTGAGGTTAACCACACCAGCAGTCGGACTGCCTAGGATAAACTTTTTAAGGAAGGTGAGAGACTAAAACAGTTTATCAGGTACAAGCTGGCTACCCAGATCCCATTTTGATAGGGACAAACTAAGATAAATAGAAAGGGATAGGGAGGGCCATTCAGTTGACAACACTTAATAAAGTCCCTGTAGATTATAAGAATAACAAGGGCATATCATAGGATGGTAATTAAGCATTTTAGTATCTAGTATATGAAAGGCAGTGCTGCACGACAGTAATAGCATATTAAGAATAAATTTCAAGTACATAAAGCAGAGCCAAATAACACTTGTTACAATGAAAAATCTCACTTTCTTTGACTGCAACAACTGAACTTAAGAATGTTGAACTAGTAAAACATTCCACAATAGCATTTGAAAGTAAATTCTTAGAAATTATAATTTTGTAGTCTTCACCAATATTAATGGATATGTTTCCCATCTCTTCTGTTTCTCCTTTTTTCTTTATAACTAACTTCACCTTGACTCTTCTTCATCCTGCTTGAGAATTCGTTTTCTCTTTCCACCTTTCTGTCTGGTATGCCAGAATGTCCCCACAAATCTAACAAATGTGCCATGGAATACATAAGGTGAAAGGTTCAGACATTACTACTCCACAGTCCCCATATAGATTTCAACTATTTCTGGCCTATGGATTAGCTAAGCATAATTTAAATGAAGAAAATAACAGTTAAAAATGCCTTATAAAAAGCCTATGCCAATATAGCTTACAAATGGTTTAATAACCTAATTAGTACCTGAGAATGTGTAGATAGCTCCATGGACATTTGTAAAAAAAGAACAATTGAGTAGAAAAATAACAACTGTATACACATTTTTAAGTCACCAAATATGATTGTCATGAAATACTTAAAATAAATATTAGCTAAACATTGATATGAAATTATTCTCTAAAGTGGCAGAGTTTTTTACATACAATTACCAAATTCTCAGTGTAAAACAAAACCCAACTTTTTCTCCAACCTCCTTTTTAATTTTTGCCTGTTTTTACATTTCATGTCTGCTGGCATTCTGGACAAAGAACAGACTTTTGAATGTCTGAGTGGTGATGATTTGGGTGTTTTTTGTTTTCAGGTTGGACCCTTCAAAATACCATATGGCTCAGTGACAATTTTAAAGGAGTTAGTTCCTGAAGATCAAAATAGCATTTTTTCTAAGTCATTTCTCTCTAAGGATTTATTAAAGCGTATTGATTGAAATTCTCTTGTAGCCTTGATTTGTTCAGGTGATTTTTCTCTAACAGGTATTGCAAGGACTTCTGTGGGGTTTGGAAAAGATTTGATTGCATTCACTGAATTGTTTGAGTGCAGCACTGTTATAAATGAAATCCTTCCTCCCGAGGATCAGCACCCTTCTGCCTAGTTTAACTTTCCCAGCCACAACAGGCATTTATTGAATGCATGTGTGTTCCAGGCACATGTTAGGCCCTGCTGACTGGATAGAATCTAGGCTGCCTTTGAGAAGTCAGCCAAGTATGGAAGAAAACACTGTGGAACTGTAAAAAGATGGTTATCTTGTAGCATATCCCCACAGAGCCAGTTGATATATAGGGCCTCCCCAATGAAAGGACCTTCAGGGACCTACTGCACAGGTATCATTGCATGTAAGCCTGGCCTGTAATTCTGCAGGAGGGCTGCTTTCCTTATTTTACAGACTAGGCACAAATTTTAAATGAAAAAGCCAGTATTTACCCCAAATATACTGTGCTACCAAATGAAATTTTTTGCTTTCTTTCATTACTATTCCATATTGACCTGTGCACACAAAGGAAAGAACTCACCAAATAGAATCCCAATGTAATAAGGTTCTTTTGAGAGTTTTTCCCATCCAATCAGAGTGGAAAATCACTTTCAAATATATATACATATAAATCAGAATCACTTCTATTAGCTAAATTTTTATCCTCAACTTTAGCAAGTCTATGTAGAACCTATCTTATTGTAATACTTATTCATTTGGTTTCTTTTTTTTTTTTTTTTTTAGTGGAACTGGATCACAGAATTGATTTTGAACTCAGAGAAGGACTTGTGGAGAGCCGCTATTGGTCAGCTGTCACGTCACATACTGCCTACTGGTCATCCTTGGATGTTGCCCTCTTCCTTTTAACCTTCATGTACAAACATGAGCACGATGATAATGCAAAACCCCATTTAGATCCAATTTGAACTCTTGAAGGACATTAATGGCCCAATACTGATTTTTTTTTCTGTTAAAGTATATGTGTCAAGATAATAGAGATTTCAGGTTTAAGTATATTTCAGCTTTGTTTAGGGCAAGAAATATTTGACTCTAAAAGCACTTTATTTTAAAAACAAAACATTTTTTCGGTCCAAAAAAAGTTATTTACAGTGTTCATCACTTTAATTATGAGTCTGACAGAACCCCCTGCAGAGAATCAAGCAAGACCCCGAAGTAAGGAATGTGTGGGTGAACTGCAGGTTATAAATCACAATTTAATTTCTCCCAAGTATAAAAGCATATAAATGGGTTGAGTTTAATGTATTAACCAAAATATGTTATAAATCTAAAATGGTCAGTGTCCAGTGTGTTCCCCACAAGGTGATATCATTGTTTTAGATTTCTATGAAAGCTTCCATGTCCACAGCTTTGACAGAAGAGTATAACAGATTTAATTGTTTTGAATTTAACTTGTTTAGCAAAACTAATACTAAAAAAGAAACAATATTTGAACTACTGTATTTATAATTTATTACCTCTGACTTAACTGCTTTATTTCAATGTATAAAACGTTATTTTTTTTAATGTTTCCTTTGAACAATTTAAGAACCACATTTACTTTTAGTGTTAAGACTCCGCCCCCCCCCCCCCCCGCCGAACTTCACCTTTGTACTCTTCAGATGACTATATAGACACTGTGGCATACTTTGAGTATTTTTTTCATTAAAAACTTCTAGTTTCACACAAATAACACTAGTTGAATTATTTTAAAGAAATAGAACTTTTTATTATGTCACACGTACCTCAGAGAAAGCTAAAGTTTTCTAAACAGTACTCCATAACGAGTACATTTCATTAACTTTATTGGAAAATTGAGTAAACTTCTTTGGAATCAGGAGTATAACAACTATTTTAAATATACAAACATCTCTGTGCCAAACAACATATATAAAGGGATGGCATGCCACAAACAGACCTTATTTTAAAAGTGTTTAAGAAAACGTGATGGAGAAACATGGCACAATATACATCAGCAGGATTCCGAGGCATTAGAAGGGTTTTCCTCAGCTGTAATTACTTCCACAGTGTTTTTCATCTGAGGAGCTCAAAGTGCTATAAGATTTAATTATCTATGTAGTATCTCCTTGAGGTGAGTGTTATTCTCATGTTACATGTTAATTCACTAAGGCACCAAAACATTTAAAGTGCCTTGAATTAGATTACAGAGCAAATCAGAAGAGCTCAGATTGAAGCCAGACCATACAGTTTTATATCAGTGACTAATAATGTACTTGTTACCTCTTAGTAGTTTGCAAACAATAATAACAAGTGGCAATTCATGATTTGGAGAAGTGACTGTGAAGCCAATATTGTACTCTGCTTATCTTACACATTCTTGGATTCTTACACACAAAGGAAAAGTTACCTAGAAGGGATCAGTAGCCATCTCTGCCCCAACCAGTCCTCACTTCTGAGTGGCTTCCACTCGGTTCCACTCAAGGTGCTCTTTGCTTTTGATACAAGGAATTTTCTTAACTCCCCAGTCACATCAGGCTGAGCACACAGGTGGGCAGTTACACTTCTCACCTGCTCCTTTCTGAGGTAGTGGGATCTGTGGCTTGCTTGTAGGTTTTACTCAGCACCATCAGTCCTCGTCTGTTTCGGCCTTTCATTGAATTTGCACAACAAAACTCCTTTTTAGTGTTTAAAAAGATTCCAAGGCTCCACGACCAAATGTGTGACCAAGAAACCCTTCCTATAAAAGGCTTTTGATGAGATCTTAGCAAAGCTGAAGTCAACCCTTTTGAATTTAGAGATTCCTGTGAACTCAGGTCATTTTCATACCCTGTTTATTTTATAGGTCTAATTTAGTTCTCAGGAAAATTAAACAGGTATCTCATATGACTATTATTAAATGTATTTGAGCATACGTTGGTGTGGGCAGTATGACATTCAAATACCTTAAGAGCTTTAAGGGATTCATTCCTGACCACTAGAATGTGAAGAGCCCTTTTTACCTGCGAAGGAAGTCTATCGCACCTTTTAATTTGATACTGAGTAAAAAGAAAATTACCAGTATATTCCCATAGCTATAAGAATATATCTGCTTCCCTTTTTTTTGTATTGAGAAAGCATCATCAAATTTAACCACATGCAATTTGAATTCTTGAAAAGAGCAACATTCAAAACCCCCTTTACAAAGTGAGATATTCTAGATTACTGGACAGTTGTTTTGTTTTCAGTTCATTCATGAATAGAGATGGCAGTTTTGATTCTATGATATTCTTGTTTCCATGTCTCTGCATGTTATCATGGAATGTACTTGTATATACTCAAGTAATATACAAAGTATGTGTAATTCTGGCTTGATTTAGAAGCTAAGTCAGTTACTGAGTAACATTTTGCAACTTTATTCCAGGAAGTACAAAATTGGCCAAAAAGTTCTGTTTTTGATACCATTAAAATTCTATTCTCTATTTTGTGTACATGCTATCATGATTCTTCTGAGTACTGGTCAGATCGTTCAATTTTAATCCAGTTAGGTTCCCAGGTTATTTAAACTTAAGGAGAATGTATTGAATTAAATCTTGCTTTATTTTTACTTTAAAATGAGACTTTGCTGAAGCCTTTTTTGTTAGTGCATAACTTTATTTTCAATAGTAATTATACTTATGTTATAATCCAGTGTTACTGTGTTTCAGAACATAATTACAGAATGTACTCAGTTTTCGAATAGCTGCTACTTTATATGTGAATCAAGCCTTAGGAATTTTAGGTTTTCTTTCTTTCTGTTAAACAGCATCTGTCAGCCTTTCGAAATTCTCACACTTAACATGTAAACATTCATCCCCATTCTATTCCTCTCTGTATTTTTGTTGTGAGCTGAAGCATCCAGGTCTACAAGGCATTTATTTAATGCACCACGACCCAGCTTTGTGTTCCCCCAAAGAGTAGACACAGGAAAAGAAAGAGCAGTGCAGTTTCCTGGCCAGTTCTGCCATTCGCTCCAGTGGAGCCAGACCAAGCCTAGAGATTTCATTGTGAGACCTATAGTAGAGAGAATAATTGAGTTACTTTCTGGTTAGTTAGGTTGACGTTTCCATCTTTTCAGCTACCAATAAGGAATTGAGACAATTGAGAAAACTAATTTGAGTGTATGTCTTACTATTGTTTTTGAGTAATCTTTTGTTAGCACAGAAATAGGGTAAAGGAGAAGCGTGATGCTAAAGAAGGGTCAGGGCAGAACTAAAACCAGGGTGTGGCATCATACACAAGAGCAAGAACTAGAATTTGACTAAGTTGTACAAATGTTGACTAGTTGACTTCTGTCATTATGTTCCAATTGTCTCTTTTCCTTGCTCTGCTATCATCCCTAGGCCTCAGCCTCTGCCAGGAATCAGATGGTACCCCGACTGAATTTGAAACACATTTATTACATATTTTGGTGGTTAGTATGGGCAGTACATACAGTTTTCTAACGTTTTATAATAATTTACCTACATGAAGAACTGTTGCTGTACCTGCAAGGAGCACATTTGGCAGGAAGAGTCTCCACTGAACTCTTAACTCTGTTACCTCTAGGGTGGGTCTAGGACACTCCCATACTGTCCCCCTAAATTCTCCTTTTGCATTAGGCAAAGGGAGAAGGAAGTTGCCAAAGAAATTACCTATAGTTTTGAGCTTAGAGCAGATACAAAATGGCCGGACGTGGAATTTAATCTCAAAGGTCTCGTTTAGTAAACATTAGTGCTGTGATGGGAACAGCTTGGGTTACCTGTGTCCTGTTTCATACTTTAGTGGATGTTTGTGATCATTTTCAAAAAATCTTAAAATGTAAGTGTGTGTACAAATTTAGAGGTCATCTAGTTTCATGCGAGCATTTAAATGGCGCCTGAAACATAAAGGAGAGGGTCAGTGTGTTAGGTTCAGCCCAAAGAGTCAGCAAGAGACTGACTACACAGGAGAGGAGGGAATCGATGGAGTCTCTGAGGGAAAATGTCATTATCAATAGAATTCTAGACCTGGTAGGGGTTCAGAGATCGTTTTCCAAAGCACGGTCTGCAGGTGTTAACTGATATTGTCTCAAAATAAGTTTGCAAAATGCCAAATTTAAAAAGTTCCTTTACGGGAGGGCTTTGGGAGGCTTTGATAGACTAACTGCAAGGTGAGTCTGGTGCTGTGGGAGATGGAAGAAGGGGACATTTTCCAGACTACTTTAACCAGACTTTTTAAAAATTAGAATATACCTAGAGAAATGCTGGTCACACTTAATTCCTTCATTTTACAGAGATTCGTCCCTTCATTTAACAAGTGACTGCTCCCACCCTTTTAGATCACATGACCAGCCAAAGACAGTGACAGAATTAGAACCTAGTCCCAATTCCCAACTGTGTCTTACACCTTACTACCTATTTCCTTCCCCTGGTAGATAGGGAACACCCAAAGGGTAGAAACAGCCTCTATTTGTTTTCTGTGCTCCCCCCAACCCTGCCACCCGCCCTCTTTGTAACCTGATGCTTTATGTGCTGCAAACTCATAACAAATACCCTTAGGGTTGAGTTCCCCAGTGGGTCTCCTTTGTTCCCAGACCCCCTTGAAAGAGAGCCTATCTGGTCTGTATAGCCTCCCTTTCATGTGTCAGATTAAAAATACCCAGGAAAAAACAAAAGGATGGCAAAAAAAAATACCCAGGAAACATTTTGTTAGTTTCTCACTCTGGTAACAAATGCAAACTTGTTAGGGAAACAAGTTGCATAGGGTAAAATGTTTAATATTCCTTTCTTTCAAGTATTTATATGTACAGCCTCTGATTAATTCATGACAAGCTGATCCCTTTTAAAGCTGTTCCAACATAGGTTAACGAATAGAAATTTTAAACTTTAAGTACTATACATTTTGGAGAACGGGAGAAAAGATTTTGCTGCTGTTGGGGCGGGGGGTGTGTTCTCTCCAAAAATAGTCTCTTGGCAAATAATTAGCATGAACTTTTCCTCTGCCTTTGTGTTTGAAGAAGGATGGGAGTGTGCTTAGTATTGTCTGTTACCTTATGGTTTTTCGTTTATGCTAACAGGGTGCAACTTGCTTCCTCCCCACCCTACAGTTGTCAGTATATGTTGGGAAGCTGTTCTTTACGAAGACTACATCTGGTCTTCTAGTGGAGTAAGACAAAAAACAAGTGTATTAACACTGCACCTTTAATACTTTCTCCTGGAAGCATCGGATATCTATGAGCGTCCTTCGTATCTTTCCTTGACTGCTCCCACACCCACCTCCATCTCTGCTTGGTCTCTGAAAATAGTTGATTCCCTGTGAGCTTTGGATCAGAGAGGTGTAACCACTTTCTGCTTCTAAGGGTGTCAAAATACACAACCTTCTGGTAAGCGCCTGGGGAGGTTTTGCTTGTTGCTCTTAGGTACATTTCTCAGAAGCAGCCAGCGCTGTGACTGTCCTGAGACCCTTAAGAAGTTTTTTCAGCTTCTGTGACCTCTTAGGTTCTAACAGTAGTACCATATGCTGTCAACAACTGCGGAAACAACTAAGAAAGTGGCCTTTTTCCTTTCCTTTGTTACCTTTTATTTTCAATAGTCAAGACAA